CTGGTCCCTGTAATTGATTAGCACATCCCCGGGGAAGGAAACCCAGCGGCCCAGCCAGCAAAGAAAGGAATAAGTTCAGACGCGTTCACTTCTGTGCCACTGCATAACTGCAAGGACCCAAATGCTACACTGCCTGAGAAGTACAGTGCTAAAACACCACCCAGACATCTTTAAATACTTCTGATCTGAATCATAAAATCATTTTGCAGACTCCCCCCCCCCATGTACAACATAACATTTAGCATCATAAAACTCTCGGCTCAAAATGAGAACGTTCCAATGTCTTATTGCTTGCATACCGAGCACAGCGTGATGAAACATTCCTTAAAGGAGAAACTGATGAATCCGAAAAGATTATTGGAGGAATCCATCTTTCAGCATGAAACAAAAGTTGTCACCGAATGATACCAGGTCATGCTCTAGTTCTCTTTATCAAACACGTTTCACTAAAAGCCTAGAAAAACAGTAACTAAATAATGTAAAGGACTTCACCTAGAACAGCACAGTGAACAGGCCACAAAAAAAGCTCACGTCAATAGGATTAGTAGGCTCTTCCTGAGTGCCTGTAAACAGCTTAAAGTGTCCTGTATTTAGCAGAAATGACACGTCTCGCAGGAAGCCACTGCCCCTAAGAGCATTAAAGTTTATTAGATCGTCCATTTCAGCCTTTGGGACTACAATAAATAAACTCATCAAGGATTTAACCTGCAAAGCAACAGAGGCATTCCTGCAGCTGCCTGCCTGCTGTTCCTTGGCTGAAAACATCTGCACTATTAAAAAAAAAAATCAACACTTCATCTCAACTAAAACAAAAAAACGTATAATTCAACCTCTTACCTGCACCCATGTGCCACTGGGTTCTTCTCTAACAAAACATGGCCATGCATCTTTACCATATTTTTATTTTAAGAGCAGAACACTCCTTTGAAATGGCTTAAGCAGAATCGTGCATCTGTGGCCACAAGCTAGAGCCCAGCAAAGTGCAGTTAACTTCCGCAGGCACTCCCAGGTGACGCCGAGGGGCCGGAGACACGTCGCAACATCCGCAGTGGTCAGCGCTGCCAAAACATGACATCTCTTCAAAAGCAGCTGCGAGGAAACACCCCTTGGAGTGGGATCGCCCACCCTGCAATTCACGTCCCAAACTTTCTTTCCACAAACAAATTTACAATAAAATGCAAGGAGTCTTGCAGAGCTATGAATCTATTTAAAGTTTGCTATACAATTTCACATGCCTGCAGCAGCTGAAACCTGCTTGGTGAATTGTAATGAATAACGCAGATCACGCCTGACTTTAGCCAGGAAGAACTCCCAGGGCATTTAGAACAGCAAAGGAACATTCAGTTCATCCCCGAGTAACATGATTCCCTGGCAAGGAAGCTCTGCGTGTATAAAACAGAAAGTAAGCAAAAAAACATGTAGCATAAGCCTCATCATGAGGCTTCGACAGTGTTCAGAATTACAGGAGCCAGCAGGGAGAAGTGGCATTCAGATTACAGTGCAGAAATGTGCTGTTATCTTGTTTGAAGGAAGCATCAATCTAACATGCTGTAAACAGGGGGCCTAGAGAACATTCACTGCAAAGCAGATGAGAGCGCATCAAGTCAAGCCAAAATGTTGATCTACAGCTTTGTCGCATGCACCCATCAGCCACCTGTCCCAGTTTGAAGCCAGACTGAAAAACAACCTCACAGAGACAGCAGCACAGGAAACCAATTAGTAAGAAACCTTCAGCTCTTCCTCTGCCACCACAACCCAGAGAAACCTCGACTGATGTAGGAGGGTTTCAGCAAGCAGTGACACGTGGTTTTCAGCATTCCTGAGAAAAGCAGCGCAGAACATTTACAAAGCATTCCTGTACTGGCACGTTGAAGTTAAGTTAATCCCCCAAACCCACAGGCTTTGGCTTGAGTTTAAAACATCATTAAAGACCACAAGGCGCATGGGCCAAAGGCGCAAAGTAATTGCCTTTTCAGCATGTGCATAAATTTCAAATTTAAAAGGTGCATGTATTCTGAGCAAGGGCACAGTAAAAATAGAGCAGTCTCCTTCCAATACAGGTACAGATCAGAAGGGGGCCATAGCTGTGTAATAGAAAAATCAGCATCTTGTTAAGGGAGAGTACAAGATAATAGATGGGTTGTCTTCTGTATAGATTTTGGCAAGGATGGGAGAGGGAAACCCCACAGAAAGAGCAAAGCCTGTAACACAGCTTTTCTGATTCAAATTCAAGCAGGTCAGAATCCATTCTTGAACTGCTACAGATGCTTTTTTTTGTCCTTTTCAATTATTGGCTCCTGCCCGGATACTAGTTCCCAATTTACTTTGATTGTGCATAAAGCTCAAGAACACTGCTCTGGATAAAAACCTCGCCAATGTATTAAGGCAAAGACCAAATCATCTCTGCATTTGCCACATGTCCACTCTGCCCTTGACTCAAGGAAAAGGCGGCCCCCCATTGTAGTTGTTCTGAGAAGCCCTGCACACCAATCTCCAATAAAGATAAACAAGACACACATTAAGACAAGGTTAATGAAAAAGGATAATTGCCTAGTGAAAGGTCTGACTGTGGGTAGGCATAATTAGGAGAATAAGAAGCTTAAAGAATTTTAATTAGAATAGTGTCCTCAGGACCAATCAGGAACCAGGACCTTGAGCTATGTGACAGTGACCATTGTTTCCCTTCCAGTACAAAAAACACAGACACCGCATTACACTCTTGTTACCAGCAGGTCTCGAGTGCACTGCACATGTACCTCTGCTGCCAAAACAGTTTAAAATTAAGACTTAAGCTAATTAAGCTTATTCTCCTTATACTCACCAGCAGATCCAGTCAAAAGGTCACCAGCACTGCCACCCCTGTCTGCTAATTGTTTTTAAATAAGAAGCGTATATGTATTATTGACTGTTTCTATGTTTTTACATCAAAACCGTAGAGCACATTCGTTGCAGGTGTAATGCAGCTGGCAAACAAAGCGATTCTGAAGAAAAGCAGATCCCCAAATTCCCCCCCCAAGTGCTTCACATATAGGAGGGGACCCACCTCAGCCAGCACCGATGTGTGGCCCCACCTGTGTGACACACAGCAAAAACAGGTGGAGCAGTGAGAAAGTTAAGGGTGAACTTCAGGTAGGCCAGACCATGCAAGAACAAAATGCAATTGAGCCCAGACACTAGGGTTAACAACTTACTTTTACAAACTCTGCCATGAGATCTTTAATGCCCAAGAGAGCTTCAGTTCCAATACTCAAGTCAGAGCTTCAGTTTAATATGAAGGGTAGCACCTCCTACTGCAGTGTCTCCCCCTCATCACACTGCCATACTGGGGCGATAGTCTAGAAATTCTGGTCCGAGATTGCATGGGGAAATAGTTCCACCTACTCCTTCACCTACCAAGTTAGTCGATACGAGTATGTCTCATCCCAGTGCCATGACTGGTGCGCTCTTTCCTGCCCTGGGAAACACGAACCCCTCACGTTAAAATAAACAAGTAAACGTTTGAAAACCTTACAAAATGTTTCACCCCCGCTGCGGGAATATCTATATAAGACCACACGAGTCCTGCTTGTCAGACGTGACAAGTTAACTGCTAAACTCCACCTTGAACTTCGACAAAAGCCAAAGTCGCCACGCATTTTATGCAGTGCCGTTTCCAGCAAAGGGATTCCATTTTTCCCCAATCCAAGTTATATTTGTTCTTCTTCAACATCACATTTCTTTTCCGTCTAACTCTGACGTAGGCCGCACTTTTCGCGCATGATTTCTGCTAGGCTTCTATACGGCAATGATAGGGCGTCACCTCACCCTTCACACCTGCCGAAAAGCATAAATCAAACACCACACGTGGGACAATATCGCGCTGTGACTAGGCCTCGTATATAAGAGCTGGAGTCAACTCTCCATAGCCAATAAACTTTTGGGTTCGGTGAAGGCGTCTCCGATGTTTGCGGATTTAAAATTGGTCTCCATGCACCCGCTACCCAGCGCGTCTTCTAATACAAACATTCGTTTTCCAGCAGCGCTACAAGGGCTGTGTACTTTAAAATCAACGCATACAAACACAAATCAATTCTTCCACAAGCCCAGTCTCCGTGAATCCCATTTCATGCCCAGATACTGTTTTCCCCCCACCCGAGATGCCGCTAGCAACTAATCTCGGGCTTCGCCAAACAACTGCCTACGACAGGCGCAATTAAAGACTGTGAAAGCCATTGGGAAATTTATTATCGTATCCATGCTAACAACTTATGGACAGCCAAAGGTTTATGAGAAAGGATAGAAGAGTAAATCTTCATGATACGCGTCCCAGCTATGAAGACGTCAAAGTGTAGGCTAAAAAAAAAAAAAGCAAACTGCCTGATAGACTGGCAAATCTCTCCGTACTAGTAGTTTTGGTTTTCGATAACCTTATGGAGCCAAGGTACCTATTTTTATGGTGTACAAAAGGTTAACCGTTAGCTTCTGGAGCACAGACTCGGAGGCGACCAACTTTAACGGGACGACCCCAGTCATCAGTGAACCTCCCCCAGCACGGCGTGGGCTTACTGCTACCTGAACAAACGCTCAGGAGCCCGCAATTCAGCTACCACTGGGAACCCACGCTTGCAAAAAAAAACCCTTTCGACTTCAGGCTGGGAGCCAGCGGATTCAATCACAAAAATATCCCCCAGCTCTACGGTCACTATCAAAGCGGCACCCCGCCACACGGATTTTGCAAGAGTTGCACCAACAATTCAGATTTACTTCTGACCCCAAAACACCTCGTTGCAGACCGAAACGTGCCCTAACAACCGAGGAGTTCACAGACCAGCGTTTTTAATGAGCATGTATGCCCCTGCCTGCGTTTTGTCTTTAAACCTTCGCCGGCAAGAGCAAAACACACACACGCACACAAGAACACGCAGACGAATACAACGTATCGTTCCCCGCGGCTAGCAACAACGTAGCAGGGATTCCCAAAAGCAAAGCAAAGCGCCACACGCACACAAAAAAAAACTTACTTTTGTGTTTGCCGACTCCCCATGACTGTTTAGCCAGACTCGGACTCCGTATGATGGCCCTACCCGCGGACTTCAAAGCATCCATGCTTGTGAAACCCACAGAAAGAAAGGGGAAGAAAGAGTCCGGGAAGCTCCGGGTTCTACGGCACCGCAGCTCCTGCACTCTCCGCGATGTTAAAGTCACTCTCCCAAACTTTTCTTCCCTTTTTCTTCCTCCCTTTTCCGAAGCCAGCCCCACAGTCGATGGATTATCACGTTTCGCCCCACATGGGCGGTGTTATTTATGTAAATCGGGCGGATAATGTACTTGGCGTTGACGTGGTGCCTTTTTTTTTTTAAAGCGCAGCGGAGGCTGAGAGTCGCTTGGAGGGGAGGGCCGAGCGGGCGAGGTGAACTCGTGTAGCGGAAACCTGACTTTTCCCCTGATTTTGTGTGTGCTAAAATTAAACCAAGGCCGCATTTCCTACAGTTCAAGTAAAGACAAACAAAGGGCACCCCGTCCGTCGCTTGGAGTGACTCAGACTTCAGGAACAACAACACGACCTCTCTTCCTCAGAATGTCGAAGCTGTATCGACTTAGTTCATTTTTAAATATATATATACAGTCAGAAAAGCAGTCACATCTCACTCATCGACTGCCGAACCAAGAATATAATCGAATGAAATTAAGAACAAGAATATTAATAGTTCACCTCTCTCTTATTATACCCCTTACTGTGCAGATTAAATGTAAACATTAAATAATCCGAGCAAAAATAGTAAATTACGAAGAAGCACTTAGCAAAACTATGAATTATTTTTCAGTCATGGCTTTGCGACATAAAACTATTTGCCATCTCTATAACTGGTTGTTGTTTTTTTTTGTTTTTTTTTGGAGGGTGGGGTGTTAAAGGTTGTCTTGTCAACTAGGAATTTGGTTCTCAATTTTGGGAGGCGTGTCAGCCTGACAGAACAGGACGAGTCAGCCGGAGGTCAGGAGGAAAGGTTAATGTTATTTTCAAATGAGCAAAACGTAGGACCGTCTACACCACCAAACAAACTGGGTTCTGGACAAGTCAGTTCCCCGAGAACAGAGAAGTATGTTGTACGTCAAAACAGCAGAGGATCCCATTTGACGTGACCTCATTGTTGTTTTCAGTTTGAAACATGGGCTGTAACTTTCAGGATGTTTTTGAAAAAAAAAACTGGACTGTACAGAAAATTCAAGCTGGCGTGTCCCAAATGCTTCCTAAATGTTAGTAAATATAGCCTACAGCAGAACATTGTATTTTTATTTACTCTGAATTGTATATATTTGTTTTTATTTGAATATGTAATATGGAATATACAATACATAATGATTATCTTTTCACGTAGAAAAGGGGCGCTTAGTTCATCTCCAAACCAGCTGTCTGCGCTAACCTAACCGCGCTCAACTGCTCCACCAACCGGGCGTCTTCACGGAGTCTTCTTTTCCCTGCCAGGGCGTTTTTATTTTACAGCACATCAAACGCGGATCCTAATGATTTCAAATCACCGACTCTGGAGCGGATTGTCACAAGGCATCAGGGCAGCCGGGACATCATTTACGCCACAGTGCGCGACATCTGCGGCGCTCCTGTCGAACCGGGAGGGACCCGGCCGCTTTCAGGAATTTAAATGATGAAAAACGAAGACCTAGTTTTGAATGACCTTCATAAACTATAAATAAAGCAATGCGAAGAACCACTGTACGCACGTTTTGTTATAGTTTTTAACTTTTTCTGAAAAGCTGCGCGGAAAAACAAGCAGCTTTTCTTGGATATCTGTAAGAGAGTGAGAGAGCTTACAGTGCGCCCTTGTTGTTAGGAGAATGCGGTCTGCAGTACTGCAAGATAGTATATCAGTTCTGAAGCAGTCGGATCCTCTCTTAGAGATACCAGCTATGATGCACATAACTCCAGAACTATCAGATATATGTCAGATGCTGGAGTCAGTCAACCCGTAGGAAAAAGAGGGGCCTCTTTCTTATTCCCCAGCCTGTATTCCACGCGTTTTTACTTAAATAACACTCCACGCACATCTTCCGCTGCTAAGGAGCTACATCGTGTAATCGACTTGCGGAACATCTAGCCAATCTTGTGACAGGAGCTCCGTTTCAACACAGGAATGATACAGAACACGTGTCGTTTGTTCTTTCATCTCAAGTGTGTCTCGCTCAGCTACTGTAGGTGTCAGTCTGTGGCAGTGCAGTAGAAGTCTGCTGTACTCAATACATGCCTCTGAAAATCTGCAAAAGCAATACACATCACAACCTACATACAGTGTAGAGTTTCCATCAGAATTAAACTTCTGTCTGGATTTCAAATGGGAATTGAAACTCGCTGATGTTTTAGAATAGAGTACAGAACATTACATATGGCTTATAGTATTTTCCCCACTAATTACAGTGGAACTCTGCGGTTTACAGTACTGTATGTACACATCATGACCCCTCCTTGTTATTAAAAATGACATCTTGGTTCAATCCCACTTTGGGCTTTGCAAAATCTGGCTTCCCAAATTGTATCCCAAGCAATTTCTTGCTTATAACTGAAGCGGTTCCTCACTTCTGCACTTGATCTGTTGTGTAATGGGGCTATCCTCTGTGTCAGGTGCTATGGGGTGAAAGGTGCTACACAAAGGCATCGCAGGTAGACTCATCCCTCCCTGTCCTCTTCAGAGATCTGACAATTAATCTATAAAGCGTTTCGACCTTGGCTGACTGCAAGCCAAAACTTCAACCTACCTATCAGCAGCGCGATTGCAAACCAAACAGCTGACAGCATCGTTGGAGCTTCTGCTGGGAGGGAGCCAAAAGACTCCTGTCTTGCCTCGAGTTAAATAGTTTGTGACTGAGGTGTGGACCGAGGTTTTTCTGAAACCCGTGCTCTGGTCTGCAAGTACATAAGAGCGCGGTCAGTTCTGGTGCAGTGCTGGGGCAGTCTGGTGTCGCACCGCTGCAGCTGAGGCAGAGTCACCCAAGGCCTTGCTAGACGAGAAGCTTCCCACGAGTCTGACTGGTCACCCCCCTCTGCAGCGGCTTGCAGGCATTCCGGGGGCTGACACCGAGGTCCGTGGAATTCCAAAAATCCGGCTTTTCAAGATTCCCGTGGGGATATGGCTGCCGAGGGAGTTTGCTGGAGGAGGGGCATCTTTCTCATCTCGAAGGGGATGAGTCTGTTCTTGCTCGCTTGTGGCTTTTTTCAGGGTTTAACTGTACCGGCTGTTCGCACAGAATCCCATGTGTGCGATTATTCGTGGCTGGCGTTATAAAGTGTTCACAGAGGGGCTTTGTGTGCTGTAACATCATTGTAACATTCATGAGCAAGAGCCTGATGACCTCTGCACTGTGTGCAGGCCACTGTATATCTTTCCTAATTCCTTAAATTTGTGTTTTCATTGTTAGTGTAATAATTGCTGACAATACTTTCAGGGTGTCTCAGATTGCAGATCAGTCTTGGCATTTCTGCTTAATGTTTCCCAGTTATTTGGTTTATACAGCACACATAATTCAAGGATTTATTACTCATTTCATTATGCTATCCACTGAAAATAACTCTAAGTCTCCACTACTTGATATATTTGTGCAAAAAAATCTCATTGGTTTTATTTGATTATCACAAAAACAGGCAAGATCCAAAACCGCATCACTGGTAGACTAATCCCGCCCTGTCCTTGGCAGAGATCCGGCACTTCTGCTCCTCCACTTATAGAGAGCTCTGGCTACGGACAGTGGGTGATAAAACTCAGGCTTGAACCCCTGCACAAGGCTTCCACTATATAGTGTGTACTGACTGACAGGCATGAATCCCTTTTTGACATTACTACACACCTTATGAATTCAGCACTCTATAACTTGTTCCCCTGTTTTTTTTCTTAAGTGAATTATATACTGAAACCTGTTCGTTTAAGCAACACTCCAGCCTGGGATCAATCTCCAAAATCTCCTCCTTCTAGTGCTCTGTCTGCGACCTGCAGTTTAAATGGATCAAGGATGAGACAAACTAGTTTCCAGGAAAATGTCTATGGAAAGACACCTTTCGATCTTGAAACACTTTTCCAGGCAAACGGTAGAAAGAAGCCATTTGAGAAATCATTAGCCTCTGGCTAGGGGCCTGAAGAGCTTCCTGGACTTCGATCTTTGATCCCATCTCTCGAATCTTGCCACTTTCAACTGAAGACAGTGTAATCCCACTCATTAATCCCCAGCAAACTCTGGACACTCACTATACTGGTGGACAGACAGCCGCACACAATCCAGGCCCTGGAGAACTACAGTCCAGCACGAGTCTCATAAAATCATTGCTCACATCCTCCATTTTCGCACCCAAGTTAAAGGCTCATTGCTCCAGTTCCGGGAGGAGAGGCCAGGAAGTCATCTCTGGTCCTTAAGGGCTGTAGACCCGGCCGTGAGCTTTCTCATTCCAGATGATTTCCAAATGGCTTCAACACAGTTACTCTCCCACCTGTCCAAAGTGAAATTCCTCCAGGTCTTTACAACTCAATGAGTTGAACGGGATTAAAAAACCAGCTGGAGAAGGACACAGTCAATCGTGGAGATGCCGTTTTTTTTCCCCTGAGGCACAATATAACCTTTAAGCCCAAAGCGTAAGACAGAAAAATGTTAATTTAAAGGACACACATGACCGTCATGTGTAGTTTAAATATAATTTTTAAACTGTTGCAAGCATGAGTCGATTTTCACAATCACAGCTTGTGCAATGCTTCTGTGCATTTTAACAAAGGTACCCCTGAGGACCCGTCAAGCAATACCATTCATCTGAAGCACGCTTTGCGTGACTAAGAGGGTAAACTGCCCACCTCATTCCCAGCATTCAGGCTACGTAGACAAGCTTTCCTTGATTACTGATGTCTCCTAAGCTTCCCTTAATTGCCAGCAGATTCATTTTAATTTAGCTATGAAGTCATTATAATCCACTTAATCCTTATGAAAGTTTTATTGGTGTGGTAATTTAAAGTAAATTTCATGAGCCGATTAATCCACTAAGACATGTTTGTTGGTTAATTAAAGATGAGATGGCCATAAATCAGTATTACTCTGCAGACTAGCTCATGGTCCGAGAAGCTGGCTGCAGAGACACTGAGGGATAGGGGGCTGAACTGCGTCTGAAGATTGAGTATGCTTCAATCAGTGTGCTAGAGGTCACTCGCACCTGGAGAACATAAATATCTACGTCTTCCATGAAAGAGGTTGAGGAGACACAGACCAAACTTGGAAGTGGGTTAATCTTGGTTAATTTGAGCAACAGATAAAAAACAACAGAGGTTGGGACAGGTTGGTGGCGCTGCAGATTTAAGGCTCCTGGGGCCGATTCCAAACCGAGGACTCATTCTGTATGGAGTCTGTATGTTCTCCCCCCTGCGCCGGTTTCCCAAAACTGCTGCATTAGAACAGCTGTCCTTGCGTGCTTGAGTGTGTCTCATGCAGGGTATAATCTCACCTTGGTCCCACCGCTTCTGGAACAAGGGTCATGACAACCCGGAGTCAGCAGAGCTGCCTTCCAACATCGGATGGATACACGAAAGCGACAAAATAGTAAAAACTGTTACAATTCTTTTAACCCCTCCGTGAGAAATCAATACCTTACATCCAGAACTTGAGTATCCTTCCTTCTGCTCTTTCAGCTCAAATACGAAACTGGCTTAGTTTCGGCAAAACCCTTTTCGCGGACGGGACAAGTCGGACGCGTCTGTTTTTACGGCCTTCAGATCGATTCGTTTAAAGAGTCAGTTTCTTTGTATTGCCGATTCCTGGGGTATATTAAAATGTTGGGTTGTTTCTTTTTTGGGCCGTGTCTCCTCCTCCTCTTTTGCGAGTGTAACAAAAGTGCTGAACAATAAACGGCAACGAGAACCACACTTCGCTGTCAGCTGGAAAGAAAGCGTCGTGGGGACAGAAAAAGGGCAAACGAGGGTCCGCTTGAGTGCTTTAAAACGTATCCGGGCTGCGCTTCCACATGACAGACTGATTTTCTTCCCTTTGTTGGGATTTTCACAGAACGGCTGGCAATTAGGTGACCCAGGAAGAGCCAGGGGTTACAAGCAACAGCGGGCTCGTTTTCACGCTAAGAAAATCCCGAAGCAGTTAAAGGAAGAAAAAAAAACCCAACAGCAAACAACTCGCCGTGCAAAACCAAAGATTTCTCTCCGGGCAGATTAGTGGAGGCCCAGTTATCGTGGATTACAATACCCCACATGCCAACGGACGATAAAGCTGACCGGACCCCGTCTGCCTCTCCACTCACATTTCCACTTTCTGACACTCTTCCACGGTGGGGCTGCTTTAAGGTGCGAGATCAGGAGAGTTTCAGGAACCCACGGGCACGTCAGCGAGTAAATTATTCTCATACTGGCAACAACAGCGTGCACCTGGAGAGAAGTATTTCTCTTTAAAACATTATTGGCCGTTATCTTTACCACAGCCAGACAGAAATGCATTACAAAAAAGACCGCCCTCCCTCCCGGGGGGACTTCAGGATGAAAAGTTTTTAATTCATCTTTAAGCTAGCTCGGTTCCTTTCAACACAAAATAATACGCCAGAAGTAGATGCATCTTCAAACAGCATGCGCTGATTTTTAAATAATCCATCCAAGATAAAAGGTAATATTTCCTTCAATATTTCTTTTATTTGTCAGATTTTTTTAATCGATCAGAACATTAAGAAATTGCATTTATCATTTGATCAGCATACTGTATATTAATACTTTGCTTTGGAATAAAGATATACATATGATATATGTATATATCATATGTAAAGTTTCACTGAAACAAAAACATTGCATCGTTTGTATTGGGTTTGTGTACTAAAATACTCCTCAGTAAAAGCTATAATTAAATTAATGTGAGAAACTGGAGGAAAAAAACATTCGAGAAAATGAAAATATTTCTTCAGGAATATGTTTAATTCATACCATAGGGTAATCCACCAATTTTGGAAAATTAACTACAGGGGAAAAAAAGAGTCTCACTTAATGCTGTAAAAAAGCATCACACCTGCAGAAGGCTCCAGGCCGAAACCTTGCGTTTTCTTTCTTCTTTTTTTCAGCATGGAATAAACCTATTACTTGTTCCATTACATTTTTATACCACCTTCAAAAAATGAAAATGAAAAACAATTACTGATCTGAGGGAGGTCATTTTGCAGTTTCCCTTTAAGAGATTATGTAAAAACGTTTCCCTCAGTTACAACTCTATTGAAATATCAAGTGTATTTATGAGATGCTTTTCTCTCTAAATGTTATCATCCTATTTTCTTTTCAGTGCCCACAACTACTTGCCATCCATACATTTTTTCTGAAAGCTTTTAATCTTATGAGATACAGTTTAATGACACAACCAAAAAAACACAGGAGGAGGGAGTTGAAACATTTAAACATTTTTTTTTGAATAAGATCAAAAACACACGTGGAGAGAGCAGTTTTTTCAGCATAAACCAGAAGAGAGATTCTGTCACCCACAGTTCACTGTCTCGTTGAGGGGACAAGCAGGAGACCAGGGCTGAAGGACTGGAGAGTGACTACAGGGATGATTTATCAGGACATTAGAAATAAGAACAATGAAGTGCAGGGTACTCCCTTAATGATACGGAAAGCTACTATTCAGTATAATAAACGTCTGCATTGAGATATAGAAGAAAGTATCGACAAGTTTAACCAGTGCCTCCTGCCTATCCATCAAGCTGGCCTTTTCTTCAGTCAAGGTCAGCTGCTGCATCCAATTATATCCCTCACCTGGCTTACAAAAGGTGAATCTGCCTTTAAAAGTGTATATGGATCCAAAATACTCTTGCTCAGTTGAAACAAACTTCACTTGAGGTTTAAGTAAAATTCTTAGCATTTGCAACTGACTTTAAAGAAATTGGTGTAAAATCTGTGCCCCCGCGGTAACGTTATGCATGTAAACTGACATCATAAAAAGGCAGATGGGACAAACTACAAACGTGTTCATTGTACTTATACTGTGTATATGCAACAGAAATCAGAAAAAATAGGTTTACTCACATTGTACAGTCAGATATACTTATTTTTAAATGAAGGGCTGTCGACCACAATAAAAGAACAGCCGTGCAAACTTTCAGTCTGTGCAAACCAAGTATCAATACAATACTATCAAAATCCAACAAGCAGACACTTCCTAACCTGTCGCAGTTATACATGAGACTGGATAACGATGAGAAATGTATCACACTGTAAGGCGCTGGAATGAGATTTAAAAAAATTACATGTAGTGGCAAAACTAGAGTAAGCAGGAACCTGGGTAGTTCAGGCAATCAATGCCCCCTTGTGGCAGCAAAAAGAGTAATACTCTTGTAATTTCAATACTTTATTACTAAAGGACACAACCGTTATCAATGCAGTTGATAGGTCCTGGATGGAAAAAAAAACAAAAAGGTTTCTTAAAAGAAACTGCTGCCTTCTCTACCATACATACCAACCCAGTATTTGACTGGTATCTGACAGAAAACCAAGACTTTTTGCAACTTCTTCAAAAACTAGAGTAGAATATTTCGTTTTTACTGTAGTATGATATGGACATCTGCACAGAGAACAGTCATATGAAGTGCCTACTTCAATTATTCAAGCAGTGTTACATTTTCCATATTTATATGCTTTGAATGCTGCAAAGGAAATAAAATACCCAACGGTTTTTAGAACACACACCCAGGTAGCATACAATTCTAACTCTTAAACTAGGATGGCTCGCTACAATACTGTATATGTACCTAAATTACTGTTGTAGACAGTGCAGATATGTTTAATCAGTTTGGAGAAAGGTGGTAAAAATTGCCTAAAACTCCTTGCTAAAGAACTACTTCCATACATCCTCAGACACGAATAAAGGACTTCAAAAACCTGAATCATCTGCAAGAAAAAAGTTTATTCCTTGTAAACCCCACAGAAATAGAGAATGCAGCCAAGATCAGTTACATAAAGGATCATGTGCCCATATGGCAGCAAAGAAAATAAGGGTTTACTTTAAAAAAAAAATTGAGACAAAATTTCATTTTTTCCCCACAAAGCTTCAAGAACCCATGACACCATTGCTAATCTGTGACACTTTTCCATGGTGACAAACGCACAAGATGCTTTTAAAACTTCAAAATACAGAAAAACATATCTGACTTAGGCTAATCATCCATGTTTTTTTTAAGTTCTACCCATCAGTGATGATGTCCTAAGCAGGATGTGAAAAATTCCACTAAAAAAAGTTTAATACTTATTTCACTTACAGAGTCTACTGCACTTGGTGACAAAGGCTGCTCTTTTCTATTATAAATGCAACAAACATTCAGATTTTCAAGCTTAGCACCTTAAAACCACAATTTCCAGATGTGTTTCCTCAATGTATTTGTGATACATTTAAATCGAAAACACACTCATGAGGAAAAAAAACGCCTTCTCTTGGCACATAAACTGAATCGACATTCAGCTGTAAAAGGATCTTCACCAACAAGTTGATGCTAACTTTAAAGCATGATTAACAGAATATCTATGCTAGAAATATAGCTTTTGGCAGATTAAAAGCCTTTTTTGTCATATAAATTGCACTAAATCCATCTTAAATTATTTTCCCTTTCTCACAGCATGCCTTCTTAGGATGCAACACATGTCAGACAAATAACAGATTAAAACAAATGTACATCTAAAAACAAAAATTAAACTGCCACTTTATAAAGTAGGAAGCAGTCATGCAATAGCTTGTGTCCAGGCTGCAGTAGACTCTGTGGTGTACTAAAATCAAACAGCAGGGTAAGATTAGAAGAGAAGTTCTGATAGTTCCCCTTGAAAAAGAGTCCATTGTCAAGGCAATACACTGTGGCAAAATAATTCAGTAGAACACTATTGGTTTCACATTACATTCCATTTAACACAGAGAGATGTTAACCAAATTAACCAAAATACAAACCACTTTCCGTTTCCCAGCTTATTTTTAAGCTTTCTTTCCGTGGACAGAAGAGGAGGGGGACAGATGTAACCCTGCTATTAAAAATACTGAAATAAACCAGAAACAAAACGGCACGAAGGCAAGAATCAACTAAGGGAAAAAAAAGGAAGCAGTTATGCACTGACCAAGAAAGATATACGCCAAGTTCTGTGAGGTTTTCTAAACATTTACAAGAAAGAAACCATTGGCCAGTCCAAGTCGATGTGATGTCCCTTTTTTTTTTGTCTTTTGTTTTAACTACAACAAATACAGTCACACAATACAATGTCTTCTTGACCAGGAAAAAAAAACACTCTCGCTCAATGTAAAGACACTGAGTAAAATCTTCATCTGGGCGATCAGAGAAAAGTGGGTATTCACTTTTTCAGGGGCTGGTAAACTGAGGCGTTTGGATCCAGTCCAGAGGGGCTAGTATCCATGAACTTTGAGGAATAGTGCGGGGCGACAGGGTTCATGTTGTTGGCGTCTGCAGTGTAAGTGATACTCGGCATGACCGCCATCACCTCTGCTATCTTTTGTTTCAGGTCCTTGATCTCCTGATCTTTCTGGATTATTTGACCTAAAAAAAAAACACACAGAAGTTGTCACATGTCTGGCTGATATAACAGCGAAGAACCATAGGTCTTAATAAGCACTGGACATTCCTGTGTGCAGCCATTAAAGCACTGCGTCATGCAGAGCAATCCACCTTGTGCGATGGGGACTTTGTAGAAAATATTATTCTCATTTCATGAGATAGGAGTTTCAGAATTGAAATGTACTGGCTTGGGTGATCCCTTTAATAATTAAGGATCAGCAGGTAAAAACACTTGGTATAACGGTTTTATTCTAGTCCAAGGTATCCTCCCCCTGGTTTAGTTTAGTTTTTTTTCTGCCCTCAGTACAGACTTTTAAAAATGCATGTCAAGCGTATCGATTCCAACATCGTCAGCCAAAAGACCTAGAAGCAGCCTCTCTTCAGCTTGCCCCCCTTATTTATAAATAAGCAGCTCTTAACAGGTGATTAAATCCATGATGGACAGACACAAATGGGAATGACAATACATAAGGCATTCTCCACAATGACTGGCTTCCTGAAACCCAGAAATTCATACAGAGTTGATACCAATTTTTAGTCACAGTCAACATTTTAAGAGCCAAAAATAATTAAAAAAAAAAATGAAAATAAAACTAAAAGCATTTTAGCCTGTAATTGGGAACTGGACAGAAACAAAAACCAGAAGGAACAGCAATACCCCAGGACCAGGGAGGGGAACCACTCTTCTGAGTAATATACTGTGGAATGTCTCCAAATCGCACATTCTGCACTGGGAACAAAATCACATCTCATTACTCATTCATTTCTTTTTCATAAAACAATTTCAAGATACTCTGAAGTACCTTAAAAAGGGTAAGAAAAAAGGTCACAGTCAAGGGACAGTGCCAGATACTGTCAAGAGACTTTTCCCTCTTTTTTTGTCCGTAACAGCCATGAATGAACTGTGCATTGCTATTCATGCCTGTTTATATCTGTTCTGGGATTTTACATCCCAAATTACAATGTCAAACTGTTATCCAGGAGGTCTCGGATTATAACTGACCTTGCCAAGCATTTTGGCTCCACCAATCTGCACCAGCACTGTGGAGACCCCGAGTTTGACAAATGACGGATACCTCTGACAGACTGGTGTAGCAGAGGAGTAAGGGCACAGGGTCTTCATGCTGCTTGTGCGATACAGGTAATGCAACAGAATGCCATACTGATAAACGACTCCGTATTCAGCTAATACAAAACTCAAAACAAACGACAATTATTGCACTGTGCCAGGACAGCCCTCTCAGAAGCCTCCTCTGTTTGTGCATCCCCTCACCTTGTGCAATCTCCAGCTGTCGTTTCGCATCCCCCAGGGCGGAGAACAGGTCCAGTTTGATTCTGGTCTCTGCACTCAAGCTGTTCTCCAGGTGCTGCGTTTTATCCTGCATGGCTGAAAGCGCTGACATCAGTACTTCAGTGTCTTTTTCGTTTTCCTTATATTTGCGTAGCTCCTGGGGATTTCACAAAAATAACAGTTTTGGTCCTCAAAAAGGGCAGGTTTAGAAGTTAAATCACTGAATACAAAATCAAAATGCACTACAGTGTTATGTGCGTTTAATATTTCAAAACACTGAGCACTGCATTAAGTTGAATTTATTTATTTCTAGAAAATCACAAATTGTGAACTATGGAACTAGAATTTACGACATTGACACTTCGCTTTCTTTATCCTAAAATTTAGTCACGTCTCTTTTCATAAGCGACATGGCAGAACCGCTCCTGAAAAATGACACTTAAATCCTGCATGCACACACACTCCCATATCAAAACAATTACACGCATTTATTCATGGAAGATTTGTATATAGTTGTATTAAAAGCCCTTTTTAAACTAACTGTTTATTCATGTTTATCAATTCCAATGAAAATGTGAAGGGAAGACTGTTGTTAGTGGTGGCTAGTGTTTATTGTGCCCATCTAATGTGTTAGTTATTTTTGGTCCTTTTAATCTGAAGTAAGCCCTTTAAAGGTCATTTATTTCAGATTCTTGTGAATAAAATTACATTTTTTTCTCATTTACATGAATAATTTAGTCATTTATTTACTGAATGTTAAAACTGATAATTGTTAAAGCCTTGTTCCTTTTTTTTTTTGACAGCTTCATTTGAATTCTTAAAATAGTGCTTTATTAAAAAAATGTTTCCACACAGTAGCTTGCTATGTTTTATTTATTTTACTCTAGGTTTTATCCAGTAAAAAACACAAGGTCTGGACAGAAGGTGAACAGTGGCTGGAAGAACACCCAGACAAAGAGAGACTGATACTTGTATGAATGACCTATAATAAAACTGATTAACTTGTCTTAACTATCTGCATATCGGAGGGAGATCTGTTAAGGATCAACAGGAGTCATTGAAGTAACACGCCAAGTCATGTTACATACTGCAAATTTCTTTTAAACAGAATTATTACATACTGTCACCTCTTTTTGTCTTTAAAAAAGCAGCAGGAACCACACAAAACATACTGCTTGTGTCCAACAGCGTAGACAGACTTTATAAATATGTTTTGCTCCCACGACTCACCTGCACTTTCATTTCTAACTCTCTGATTTGCTCTTCTTTGACTTTCATGTCAATTGTTAATTTTTTGCACTCCGTCTCGAGCTCCCTGATACGGCTCCTCAGGGTATCTGTGCACTCTCCTCTGAGGAAAGAGCATAAACAGCTTTGTCAAGGGCAAACAGCAAGTGAGTAGTCATAAATCCAAATTGTTCTATTTACAGATGGAAGACAAAGGGGGGGTGGATGTTAAATAATTATACTTGCATCCATGCTTATATGGTTATTGTCACTGGGGTACATTCCATGACAATATAAAATGTGAGCACACAGAGATGGTGACTTTACTCTTTGCTGACCATTACGCTAGTGTGGCATGGTAAAAGATCACACAAAGTAAAACAATGAATGACAGCTTCCTCTTTATATTACTCCTTCATTTCATCCACTTATTTTCAGTGTTATTTTCTTGGCCAGCTGCTCTGTTTCACCTGTGTACATTTACTTTCACAATCCCAGGACTGTGAAACAAACTGATGTTTCAAAGGAACTCAACGACTGTTAAAACAATGGTAAGAGCCTGGCTGCAAGAACCCTACCATTCCAATCAGAACACAATTTCAACAAGTAATAAAAAAAACAAACTAATGTTTATGTCCCAGCTTTCTTAATGCAAGTTAACGTGAATGCTGAAATATAGGAAAAAAACAGAAATGCCCTTTGAGTTAATCGTTGGGAGACTCCAAGTGGCTCTTGTCAAGGTGCTTCCTGCGTACCTTTACAAATGTCCAAATGTCTCAGACTTGAGGCCGGGACTGTGACAAGGATTCCCCAAGCAGTAGAGTGCAATGATTAAAGGGTAAGGCTGGAATTAGTCAGCCAGGGCACTCAATGCCCGATGATACAGCAACCCCTGCAGGCCTGTGTTGCTCTCTGCCAAGGGTGCACCTTTCCTCCAAATGAAAAAAAAAAGCCTCCTGTGTGGGACTGTGTAGCCTGCATTGCGTTTGCAGGTGGGAGGACTGGAGGAAGTCAGTCTACACTTTGATATTCCCCCTGCACATTCTTGTGGACCCCATAGCTGTGAACTACGAAAATGCTATTTTAGTGGCTATTTTAAAATGCCTAGGTACCCAACAAGAAGTTTTTTAAACACTCACACACACACGTGTGTGCATTACTTTCCTGGTCTGCCCTGCTGTCTTTGAAAAGTGTTTTTTGGCCCAGGAATACTGCTGAGTCTGCAGCTGTCGCAGCAGGCGAAAATAATGATTGATGGAACAAAACAAGTCAACATCGATGAACTTCAAAAGGTTAGGGTTTAATACAGACGTTAAGGTGACCCTCAACCTCCCCCAACTAGCGAGAGGAGGCAGGAATCCTGGCTTGGATACAATGGAGCCAAGCCTTGGGGCGAGATGGAGGGGGGATGAAGGACTGACCACACCGTACCTGGACGCTGCAGCCAGTGCTACTGCCCGGGCTGCTGTTGCCTCCTCCAGCTTCTTCCGCTTCTTTTCTTCCGCCAGCTGCTTTTCGGCAATGGCTCGTGCTTCCTGTTCCACTTTCAGCCTCTTCTCTAACTGGCTGATGGTCTGTTTGTCTTTCTGTTTTGCTTGTACAGCACTGTGCAACCTAAACACAGAAACCTCAGCTGTAAGACACAGTACATTAAAATAAGACCATTACCCCCAACGTGGTTCAGTTACAAAGTGGAAGAGCCAGTGGATTGTACAACAGTGTGGGGTAACAAAGATCCTGAATTATTAGCTGCTTAAAACAAAAGATAAATGCTCAGTGGGTTCAAATAAGCAACTTAAAGCTTCTGCTGAATGAGAACCTGTGTCATGCCCAGTGCGTTCAGCTCTTACTTGTTCTGCAGCAGCTCGTTCTCCTGACGCAGCTGACCCAGCTCAGAGCGGATGCTGCGCTCGGTGGTGCTCAGAGAACTGATCTGACTGCGCAGCTCCTGCTCGACCTGCCTGCTGGCCTGCAGGTCTGCCTTCAGCTTCTTAATGTCCTGCTCCAACCTACACAAAACGTTAAACAAAACAAAACCAAAAGACTCTTAAGAATATCTATTAATTTAGCATTAATTACAGTCAAACGTGGCAAATGGTTACTATGTACACCCCACGGAATTATATGAAGACATAATTACATAACATACAATATGTGTATGAGTATGGCACAGTGCCGTAAAGGCTTGGAAATAACATAAAGAGAGGAGTACTAAAATGGTTCTCTCCTCCAACCTATTTCACCTTAATGTCATTGTTTTAAAAAACAGCAGATTTAACATTCATATATCAAGCCACATGCACCTAAGGCATATTGGGCTGTCATTACACTTGGACATCAATTTCTGTAGTTAGATATAAAACAGGATCTCTCCTAAATCACACATACTGTATGTGAATCTACAAATGTGTTAACACATACAAAAGCTACATTTACAAAGACATATGACACTGCTGAAAACTGGCGCACTCGAAGAAGAGTCCACTGCAGAACATTATTCTTCAGGCCTTTTACTTTTCAGTGTGGAATTAACCTCTACGTGACCCACTGTTATTTCTCTGTACACTGCCACCTAGAAAGTAGTAATTACTGTGGTAAAAAAAAAAAACTTCCTAAACCATACTTCTGTCCTTCTGCACACCAGTGTTGGTGGACCAGGAGATGGCAGTCTTCACCCTGGACCAGAATGTTCTTAACTGTTTGGTCATAAAAACATAGTACCCTTTGCCACATAAGATTACTGGTGTTTACACAATCTGGCTTAGATAAAGTTCTCCTTTAACTCAACTGTTGAAGCACCCTCTCAGCTCTCCACGTGATGTGCTGCGCAGAGAGAAATCTGCACGTCACCCAGTCGTGTCTGAACTTCAGCGCTGGATTGTATAGGACTCCTCTCATACATAAAGTACTTTGGAATCCTTCTACTGGGAATCCTACTTCGGGGTGAAATACAAATGCCTTGAATCGCAAGGTCCTTCATGTGGACCTTAAGCATGTGAAGTCTCTAGGATTTATTAAAAATATTTACAGAACCGATTTCAGCATTGCCACTTAGTTCCACTAGATGGCAAAGTTTTCAAAAAAGTAAACTTCAACACAGGAAAAGTACAGACATCATTGCCATCCAAGAATCCCCAGCCTAGGGAAGCGCAAACACTGCACTATGTTTTAGATACACTGAAGACCAGGAAATGAAAGAAGCCAAGATAAAAATAATTTGTTGAGTAAAATGTAACTGCCATCACTAACATTCACTATAAAAAAAACACTCACATAGTGTATACAGTACAAATTAATCAACAAACTTTTGGAGCTTTCCTTCCATGGAAATGATTGGAAAGGAAGGACATTTTATTTTCCCCGACTTCAAGCTTTTGTTTAATTAATGTTCAAGGTTAAATATTACATACCATTCCTAAAAATGCTTCCATGTTGCACTTTTCCTCCCAACCTTGTGGGCTTTCTCCAGGTGCTTGGCTTTTCTCCCACCTTCCAAAAACACGCTGGCCAGGTTAGCTACACTGGCCCAGTGTCTTGTGCAGTTAGGTGTATGTGTGCTACAGTGTACTGGAGTGCCATTCAGAGATTAGCTCCACCATGCACCCTGTGCATCCTTGATAGGTCTGAGGGTTACTGTGACCTACACCACAAATAAGCGACTTCATGATCATGCACGGATAGAATTTCATGATTTTTCTATGGTCCACTTTTCAAAATATCCCCAAAATTCCACTTGTCACCTCAGGTCAAATATGAGCACAGATTCTGAGTGAAGATATCTAATTGATAAAAGTAGTATACAGTACCAAGCAGTAAAATCATGAGGTCAGTTTCTAGCTTAGCAAGATTTTCAGACAACACCCATCGCGGGTTCCAATTTTGAAGAATGCTTTGCACCTGTGCCCTAGTGTTGAGACACTCTGGCAATTGAGTCCCACTCTTAGTCAGACTCTATATTTGTACTGACATGATTTCTAACAACTGAAAAGTCACTTTGACCTAAGCTATGTGCTGACAAAGATCGAAACATCAAATCCAAACCACAACTTTATAGGAGCTTCCACCGGACAACAGCACACATTGCCTCTTCATTTACTACTCTTAATCTTGGACCAATACTGAATTTGTCACTACAAGCAGTGTACAGGTAATTTAAAAAAGTATTCACGCTTGCTTAAAAAAACATGTTTCTACCATAATGCTTACCAGGGAACATACTATATTTGTACGTTGCTCTTTATATCCTGCAACATACAATGTTAAGGGATAACTACAATTGTTTAGGCCAACAAGATAAATTAAGCACTTTATCCCCTGCCTTGTACTCTCTGCAGTCATTTTTACAATATGATTCACGTTAGAATTGCATTTTTTGTCTTGGACAGTAGGAATACACTCTCTTGCATTCGAAAGGTGTTATCATTGTTCTAACACACTTTAAAAGTTGAACATTTCCGTGTTTTATTATCAGATCCAAATTGCGCTGACATGGAATAAGTAATTATTTCTGTATTGCTGGGTATTGCCAAGATATTTGCATACTTAAATCTTAAGATCTTCTAAAATCTTTTCAAATCAAAAGAGTTTCAGCACATTTGCACCTTGAACTGTAAATTAAGACTGGGATTTATCAAGTACTGCCTCAATTTACTTAAAGGAAAGATTTACATCTGAAATGATAAAAATGGTTGAGCTTAATTTCTCACATAAAAAACATTTATCAAAACCCAAAGTTTTTGTATTTAACACTACATGGCCTACATGTCCTTCTTCTTTGATCATCTTTGTAATACAAAAAAAATTATAGCAGTGGCTTAAGTAGCATTAGTGCTAAAAAGATCTCAGAACTATAATGAGATTCAGCAGTCGAATCAATAATGCTCTGGAGGGTTATCTCATACTTTGAAGGGAAAGCATTACACAGAAATACCTTAACAACAGGAAACCATGCTAGAAAATGTATATTTTAACTCATTAACTCCCCAAGGTTGTCCTTGGTTGTCTCTTTCTGCACCTCAGGTATGTTTCCCAAGACATTAAATTCTGTTTTAGTAAAAAAGAAGGAATGTTTTCAGTGTTACAGAGCAAAAAAAAAAAAGACACGACAACATTTGACAAAACCTGGACATAGAGGTAAGGTTTGAAGGGGTTAAAGACCAACGCTGTCACAGTAGGCAATACGATGGGGTGGAGACCAACAAGCACCTTACCGGACAAGAGTATCAGGCTTGCTGAGCTGGTTATTGGGTATACAGTTCTCCATTAAATCCTTGTGAGTGCTCGGACTCTTGCTGGGGCATTTCTGCTTCTTCTCGTTCTTACTGGCTGAAGACAAGGGAATGCTGCCATTGGCCGCACTGTGACTGCGGGGAGAGGAGTTCACGGCCCCACTGGCATTCTTGTAGTTTTTCGAAGATGTGGTGCTCGCATCCTCTTTTAGGAGGTTTTCCGTACTCCCGACGAGATCGTTGTTCAATCTCTTGTTATTGATATGGTTTTCCATGTATTCGATTTCCTGTATTTTAGAGTCTACAGGCTGCAAAATATTGTTATTTATTCCAAGGTTGTGTTTCTTGGCATCTTTGTCCTTCTCTTTCCCTTTTTCTCTGTATTCGAGCTCTGGTAAAGTTGTTGATAGCTTTTTATTACCAGGGACACCATTGTGTTGTGAAATTGGTGTGGAATCCACTTCCGATATCCCTTTGGCTGCTGCTGCTGCAAAAGAGAAAGACAGAAGTTTAAATAGGAGATGAAGTAATGCATCTGACCTGGTCTTTCATTATGAAAACCTAAGAGCAGGGACCTGCCAAGCTTGTAATAAGCCAATCTGACCCCTGCTCCAAACAGGTTGGATACGCCCTGGGTGGGGCACCAGTCCATTACAGAGCATACATACTGTACAGGAGCAAGTTTAGATGCCAAGCAACTTAGACAAAATGTCTGTGGTCAGTGGAAGGGAAGCCAGAATACCTGGAGAAGACCCATACAGACACAGGGAGAACAGGCAAACTTTACACAGACTGAAAGATGAATAAGACAAGTGAATGTGTTGGTGAACGCAGTGCATTCTGGGGTAAGAAAGTCCCAAGTTTCAGCTCACCTTCTTCTGCCTCCCTCTCTTGTCTCTGTAGCATCTGCTGTTCTGGAGGCAATGCCTGCTGAAGAAGCTGCATATAGAACTCGTTTTCCTTCTGGACCTCTTTCTGTTTTCTTAAGCGCATCTTGTAGCTGACATAACTCTTGAAACCAAAACCCAGGGTCACAACAGGATATCCAATGCTTGAAGAGAGAGGGAGTTAAAAAAAAAAGTGAGCCAACAAAACACTAAGAGATAAATTAAAAACATAAGGGGTACTCTATCACATTAAGCTCTCTTGGAGCACCTTACAGAATAATTCATATTCAACGTAATGAATCAACAGGCCTCAATATTTCTTGCCGAGATCTTACTCATAATTAATGCAAAAACATATTTTGTGAGCTCCTGTGAAACAAGAATAAAACAAGCTTAAATACAGGAAATGCCAAAATAAATTTCAATAGCTCTGTAGAACGCTATGAATAACAGTCAAACTTGTGATTATAGCACATTGCCCATTTTAGGAAATTTAAGGAGATTTTAAGCACTACCCATTTCCCTGAAACAAATAAAAATATCTTCCATACTTTAAGAAAAATGCCTGGCATTTTATCAAGCGTGGTGAGAAAAAAGTGTAGTTTCATTATCCAAGGTTACACTAATTATCCTACCCAGATGAAAAGCTTATGTCATGTGCTCCAACATAAACACTGTGGTAATTTGCAATTTCAGACAAAGCAGTTTCCTAGGGAGTTGTTTAATGAGACCTACAGCTAATTTAATGAAACCTTTTTCATTTACTACTATATGTAATATATGTAGGCAACAGTCGTTTAGTGCCATCATCACTAACAGTTACTGTGCACTATGACATAACTTCCTTGTCCAATTTCCACCACAGTGCTCTGAGCCTTAACATGCAAACCTGCTAAAATTGTATTAAAAAATAAAATGTTCAGTAAACAGTACTATCTAAAAGAAAGAGATAATCCACAAAAGATGATTCTACAGTTTTTACACTTACAGTATAAAGAACACTTGAGACAACAGAACCACAGTTACAATGTCTGTGGGATCAGTATTTTCGGGACTCTCTCAGTTCAGGGCACACCGTTTTATGTAAAAGTAAACAGGATTTTTCTTTACAATAATAAATAGTGAAAACATATTTGGGATCACAAAACCGGTCTCCAGTATTTAATTCACTATGCTGGTTGCCTAAACACAAATTGAAAAGTACATTCAATCTTACCAGTGGGCTGCAAATGGCCGACACAAGTCCACATGAAAGTTTTTCAGATCTTTGAATCGGATTGCAGCTTCTATATATACGAATAATATCCAAAGAGATACTGTGGGCAAACAAACTCCTCTTTCTGTAAGAATAAGAAAAATACAGTTACAAGTTTAATCGACTATTAGATAAAGCTAGAGTAATGAATCCTAAAAAAAATATGCATCAGATTAACAGAAGTAAGCTGGTGAAGGCTGAGTTAATTAATAACAAGGACAGTGTCAGAAAACTATTGCTTACATTTGACAAGCAAATGACAAAACTATAGATCTTTTAATAGGGAGATTATAATCAAATTAAGAATTTAAAGGTTGAGGCCAATATTCAGAATTCACACCATGAAGCCTATTTACATTTTATCATTAAAGCATAAAACATTAACAACTATACTGTATAAACACATCACCTGGAAACCTGCAAAACTGTAATGGAAGTTTTCAGCTCTGGAAGTAGTGATCAACATCACCCGTAAACTGTAGTTAAGGGATTCACAGCGCAATACAACACAAATAGCCTACACTCCAAAGATTAGTTAACACCCTTAAAGCGGGATTCCACATGTTGAAATATACTGTGAAGAACCTCAAATACATCAAATCAAGTTCTATCAGCTGCTACGAATAGGTGCTTTGTCAACAAAATCATCAAAGCAAACCTCTGTATTACACAGCCCTCAAGGTAATTTGCTGAATGACACCTCACCCAGCTGCTTGACTGAACTGAGAAAAAGGCTTGCTACAAGTTTTAAGTATCTAGGCAGTGTAAACAACAGCAAGTCTTTAAAAGAATTAATCAAAAGTACTTTGTTTTTCTGTTCATATGCATTATTTTTATTTTACATAATGAATTTTGAAATGCTTTCAGAAAGCCCAAAGCTGTAAACAGACTAACAATCAGAAAATGTGGCACCTATTATCAAAAGCACTAAAGTGATCATGAAATGAGGCTGCTTTGAACACACCAGAATAATCTAATCTGGCAGCACACAAATAAAACCTAGAGCAAATGCTTTTGCTGCAAAACAGAATCCCTTAAATGAACTTTCCTCTTCAATCTTAGAATAAAATGTAAGCACTAGCTTTTATTCTGCTTTTATTTTTACTGGATAATGCCATAATATATGATTTATGTCGCAGTTTATTATGCTTGTGATGAGTCAACAGTTTATTACAAAATAAATCAGAAAACATTATTAGTAAATCAGAAAACAGCATTACTGCATTACAATAAAAGTTCAGGTATTCAAATAATCTGGTGTCAAAATGAATTTGTCATCAAATTAATGTGACCCACTCATAATTATCCTGTAAGCAGAAAATACAAAGGCTGTAGACTTACCTGTGTGCCACACATATTGTACCCAGACATACGTACTTGCTGCAAAGAAGAGCCACTGAACAGGTATGAAGAGTAGGCATATAATATCTGATGTAAATGCTACACAGACAAAAAACACTGAAAATGCCTGCAAGAAAAAAAAAACATTAGGGTACTGGAACGTTTCTTAAATGATTGTTTTAAAACTTCTTTTAAAACACATTTAATTCTGAGCACAGCAGTCTTGATATTTTAAAAGACAGTGAAAGGAAACATACCAGACCCTGGTATCTGAAGGAGTCATATACACTTCTGATGAAGAGCCAGAATGGCCACAAATACTCAAATCTGAACTCCAGGACGAAATCCGCCAACAGCACCAGTGCCCAAACAACCAGGAACTTGAGGTATAGAAAAGTGCTGCATGGAGATAAAAAACAAAACAAATATAAATGAATTGCAGTTGTTTTTTTTTTCCCCATTTGAATAGAGGGTGATCTTTTTTCAGACCTTAAGGGAGAATGCAACATCAACATAGAAGGCTATTATGCACTTTAAATGTAATAAGCATTGCTTTTTGATTGGACAGCCTACATGCAGTAAGAAAAAAAGTATACTGATTAATGTCCATTACATTACACAATCACAAATGTTATTCAGTCTTACAGTAATGTGAGAAAGATCATTCATGCCTTACAGTAATTGGACAACTCCATGGAAAGCAACAAGACATTATTAAGCTAGCACTAATGATAACAGGTTTGTGACTAATAACAGATTTGTGCTTCCATACTGACAAGAGATAAAAATTACACAGCTAATTACATAAAACACCCTGAACTAAAGATACTAACGTGACAAAATATGCAATGACTGAAATGTTATATTAAATATATGATCACTTATTGAGTGCTTATTTGCATAGATTTTTTATCACCGGGGTAAAAGGATTTAAAAAAGTAAATGTGTACTTTTTCTACAAACATAAGTAAACCTTTTGGAAAATACTGCGGTTTGGCAACACATCAAACTGCAGTCCACGACTGTCTTTTAGGGTTTGTCTAATTTTGACCAACTGCTCATTTGGTATTAAAAATAACTAACAATGAAAGAATGACTGGAGAGTAATGGGAAAAAACAGGATACAAGCTATACTGTTGTTCAGAAGAGCACTGTAGAGTAGGCTACAGCACTATACTATTAAGTTGTTTAATTACTAAAAACAGACAAATGCAGTACTGTTTCCAGAACATGCAGTGTTCATCTCTCCTATGATTGCTACCGTATGGCTTCAAAACCCTTCACTTCCAGCTAAATATTTCAGTGGAATGAAAAGGGCAGTATGTGGCAACACCACATCTCATGCTTTCAAGAAAACTTGATTTTTAGAGCACAGTTCAGAGAGCCTATCGCAGAATGAGAAATGTGCCAAGCAATCCGTTGTAATACGGATGTTTCCGCCAGCATACCTCCTGACCTTTTTTTCCAGTGGCAGGCTTTCAAACCATAACATGCTTTCTGAAACACTAACACAAGCTAATTGGCAGATACAAACACTCAGTTACTGGGACAAGAGCAACTGGGGGTTGCTGGAAAACCGTCCTGCATTTGCAAAATCACCACACTACAGAATAGTAGAATTTTCCACAAGATTCAAAAGAGTCATTTTAACTCCATTTGCTTTAAAGAAATCTACTTCTTTAATGAATTCAACTTATATATATATATTATTCAATATATATATATTCAGAATTCCACATCTTAAAGGAATGCCTATCAAGAGGGTGCAAAATCCTTGATGCTGTTGATATGTTGGATATATTTCTCCTGTTCTTCCCCAATTGTCTTGAGCTGCCACCAGCATTAACATTACCCAGCTGTCCTGAACCACAATGTTCCTATATTCTTGAACAAGTTCTTCTTCTATATTCTTTGAACAAAAAGATGATTTTGATATTTTATATGAAGGTTAAAAATAAGACTGCAGAACAGCTGTCACAGCTTTATCCAGCTCTTCCAAACTACAGGGAATTAAGGAAACCTGAAATACATAAAGTACTGTTCCAAATTGTAAATACTTTACAGGGTGTATTGATTACCAAAAGCACCAGCGCTACATACAGTGCCTGGCAAACAGCTTCTTGTAAACTCATTTCAGGTTAAGATTAACACTTAGTAAGAATTCTTGAACAGCTACTCTTTTAATAAGCATAAGGAAACCTAACAGAGCCAATCCATTTCAAATATATTTTAAGTGGTTAAATGGGTGATGGAAATAAATAGAAATAAAAAAAATCACTACTATACGCAAATGTCTGTACAGATTCTGAATTATTAATTTTCTAGCCTTATGCATTTGGTGCAGCAGCAAACACAGAAGTATCTACAGTTCCAGAGAGATACTTCTGTATGAACCTGAAATACCCAGTGCTAGAGAGAGAATGAAAGCATTAAAGCAGGAATGGACACCAGTTAGCATGTATAATTAATGGTGCTCTGGAACTAGTAGAATATGTTGGACATATTTCCAATCATCATCGCTTACAACAGCATTTGTACAGACACAATTCTCAAATTTCACTTCACCACCACAACTGTACCATCATTAGTTTTTAATAAGTATAATAAACCATTACAAACGTCCTTTTTGATGTGTGACCCCAGGACAGTTACAGCCAGTAGGATATTTTTTCCAAAGGACTTTCTATATCCATGAGGTGTACTCAAAAACAAATTTGGCATGGGAGAAAAGCATTTATAACATTTTATATCCGATAAAAGAATTAAATCAGCCATCCTTTCTGATCCCTTGATGCAAGCGGAGAGCTTTCAGGAAAAGACTGTATATACTGGAAATGTGACAATTCCCACCTGCATACAAAAAAGACACTTTTTTTAAAAAATTGATTAACAAAATTGTGACATCAGTCAAAAGGGCCAAGTTGGAAAAGCAACAAAGCTGTGATACAATGCCAGTTAAACAAGACTAAGGAAATGTCTAACTTAATCACTGCTTTTAATCAACGTTTTCATACATGATTCATACTACGAATTACACTTTGGAACTGAAAAAGTCTATATTAAGTAAGTATACATGAAACCCAATTTAGTAAAGTACGAACACTATGTTACAGAATAAAAGCAAACCTTTCAACAGCAGACTTGATGAAGAATATAATTAACAGATTCCTAACACCAAGCTGGTAGGACATCTGCACTGAAAATTAAAACAAAGGTCTTGCTCATTACACTTTAAGAAGACATCTATTGTGCATGGCTTGTCAAGCAGTATTTTTCCCAATTAATTTGCCCTGGCTAGTTGCTATATATTTCTTGCATTATTCAAATTTACAGTAACAGAAGGTAAGTTTAACATAAATAGCATCTGCCCACAGGCAGGGAATTTTCCCCCAAGCCACACTTGAAATTGAACACTATGACCCTTACAGCTGGGAGCCAGTTTGCATCACCACTGGACTGCAGTGCAGACAGGCAATGACAGACTCAAACCATGCTGAACTTGATGTGTCTCAGCAAGAACGAGATCACATTTCTTCTTGCATCTGACATTGAAGAGCAAACACCTGCAGAGGTATTCTTTCCTGTAACAAAATACTGCAATCAAAAATTAACTTTCTCCAGCACTGCTTGTTCTGTTAAAGCACATACCTAACGTCACAAATAAGTTTGTAAAATATGTAAAATGCAACTTATAATAGCAGTTAAAGCATTTCATTTCTGCACAGACGCACATAGAACAGGAATTAGGTCAAAGACTAATAACTGCATCTACAACAAACATAATATTACTTCTGTCATATTCTTTAAGAATTTTTACCATCTAGACTACAGAATACAGAAAATGCCTCAGCATGACACCAAAACTGCTATCTGCAAGGGATAATTTCATAGCTTTTATGGCACAAATCTTTCACGAGAAGCACCTCCAGCTCTCTTGTTTTTCAGTTCTGCCATCCTGGACACCAAAGTGCTTTACTTGTAACCTCTGCTCCATGTCTGTGATGGACAAACCTATGTTTACTAGTTCACTACTTAAAAATAAATAAAAAATAAACGTAAAATAAACACTGAGTAGGTGCACTTTATAGAAAGTATGTGGCAATATTTGAAAAAATCGCCAGTTTGTTCATAACCGAGTCTACTGCTGCAACACCCGTAGCGCCAGAGAAAGTGAAGACCTCCGACACACCCACCTGCCACAGCCATTAATCACCTGACACGCAGGAACAAGCAGCGCCTCTCTGACATCAGACCCCAGAATCTGATGTTGCACCAAAGTGGAGACACACCTGGCTTGCTAAAGACCCCCCCGTTGCAGCTGTGTTCCGCCAATTGCAATCACAGCCTGCTTATGGCATGGCCCGGGCTCAATTTTGCAGAACTCAAAGTGCACTCTGAGAATTTCCTCCAAAATACCTAGTTTATTTACACCTATTGCTTCAGGAGTGGGATTCATGTACACAGCCTTTGTACACTGATGTAGGAAGCTATCTTAGTTTAGATTGTTTCTATAAATTAAAATAATTAGTCCATCTTAACAGCAGAAGCAAATCATCTTGACAAACTATCCGTAAGTATGAGCACAGGTGAAAGGTGCACTTGCACCAGAATAATATGAAGAATGATTTGTCCTATAATAAAGAGAAAAAAACAGAACAATGTAGATAAAAAGCTCTCTCTAATATTAGCGGGGACAAATGTAGCACTGTAAATAGATTGTTTTTGTGCCCACTTTGATATTTTTGTTGCATATACACTTACAAAATTCATATTTTCTCTAATCTTACATTTGAACCAGACAAAAAAAGTCAAAGTATCTGCATTTAAGAAACATCAAAATCTATGCCTGGTCCTAAACAGGGAAGCAAACAACAGTGACATAATTGGTTCAATCAGATAACTTTTAACAGGCAAAAACACAAAATATTAACATAATTGGCAGTACCTAAAGGGCACAGCAAAAGTATTTAAATGAACATCTGTGGAGATAAACTGAAACACCTAACTGCTAACTAATCATCAAAATGTGAATTCTGAAGCTACTTAGAGTACCATATAATTGTCAATTACATATTTCTGGAAAAACTCTTTTGAGATATTTGATATGGTAAATGGATCTACAGAGCAATAACGATTCTAATCAAAGTACTAGTTATGAACCAGTCTGAGAACAGCAGTATCATTAAACAAAACCACAAACACTTGCTACTGAATCAAGAAACAGTCTCTTATGACTTATAATGTTCTGTGTATTCTGAAATATACGGGAAATGTTTATAACGCTTCACCTTAGAACAGTAAAAACAACACGACCCAAAGGCATCAGTGTATCCCGATGCTCCCACAAGATCTATACAACCTAAAAGCTCCACATGAATCACCCAAGCCACTTGAACAATGTCAAAAAGCTATAGCACAGTGGTTGTCAATATTCTGCTTCTATTTTTAAATAATTAAAAGGTAAGATCTGCACAGAATGAAGGACAAAGACAGATCGATATATCAACTTTATAACACTCGAACCCTGTCTTACACAAAATACTGGACAACCCATGATAAAAAAAAAAATCACAAGTCGACCAAATCCACAGCAAAAGTTTCATGGTCCTTGTGACAAGTCAATCTCGAACACAATGGGTACAACACAAGGCCATCTGCCACAGATTAGCATGCAACAAGAAATATACCCAAAGCAAATAAACTGGGTCTAAAGTTTATGAATATAAGGGATTGCTGAAGTCATTATGCACTGGAAGCTGTCCCCATTCAGAGAACCAAGGATGTACTATGGGTTATGAAACCACTTGTTCTTACCTGTGCCAAGCGCAGACGGTAACTATAACCCGATGAACGCAATGCTGACAAATGTTGGAAGAGTTCAACGGAAACTGAAATGCAATTAAGCTTGGAGTCAAGGCTGAGATTTCTAACCAGAGGGGATTAAAAGTACTCTTTCAACATGAACTGCACTAAGCATTCCACACGACTTACTTCAACACTAACCAGACAGAAAAAAAAATTGTCTTCCACATTTCATTACGTTTTGATCACAGAAGTGGTCTTGATTACAAGAGACTTATTTTGTCTTGGACCACCTTAATCAAGAGAGCAGTGAGAACGGAAAAATTAATTTAAAACGTGTTAAACAAAACCCACCCAACACAAGGACAGACCTCTTCCATCAACCAGGGGGAAGAGTGAGTGTTGATGAGGTTTTGGAAAGACTAGAAACCAGAGTGCAAACTCTTGTGACACTTCTTCGTGCAGGATGTGCAACCACTTTTTATACATCATGATTTATATATTTGGTATTTTTGTTTAATTTTATGTAATTCTTTAGGATGTGTGAAATCATAGTTTGCAGTAATACTGCGTAAAAAATATTAAGCCACATAATAGTTTCCGAGGAGTACCATAAAAGACATTTCTCTCACTTCATCTCATTTCTCTTGGACTTTCAATTGCAAAAAAAAGGTTAAGGTGAAAAGGGTAAGAATTTCTTCTTAATTGGGTACTTCAGGTATTCATCAGAACACAGAGTCGTTCAGAAAAAAACATAACAGCACATTAAGCATACCATTATGATGGAAGTCCACTAAATAAAGAGCTGTTTGGACATCATCTTTTGTTAAACTAGTGAATTTGGATCTCAACTCCTGTCACAAGTATATTTAACAGAAGAGCACTACATTTTCAAACTTGACGGTGACTTCATTTAAATCACAATCATTTCTGACCTGAAACGTAAGATGAAAAAGAAGCCAACAAAGTGTTCTATTCAGTTTTATTTTACAAGTCCCTAAAAGAAACACTAATGTAGGGCAATATTACTGGTTGAATAATTTCCAAAGATGACATTGAAACATTGGTAAAAATATCACAATACACAAACAAAGGATAAAATTAAATACAATAAAACCTTGCAATTAGTGTAAGGAGAATGTAAATAGATTACTCAATATTAATGTATACTTAGTTCTCCCATCCTTTATTTAAAAAGACAGAAAAAAGTTCAATTTTCATTTCATTGGAAGAAAAGACTTCATTCTCAAAAGGAATTCCTCCAACGACTTGTAATTAATATGCAACTAAAACTTAATTAGGAAGTGGCTGGAGAAAACGCACAGAATGGTAGAAAATGACTTCCACGTTGATGGCTTTTATCTTGAGGACAGTTAAAGTTAAAATTGACACCTTCCCAACACTAATGTCATAAAATGATACATTTTAGAATTCCTACAACAAAACAGCAGTGAAGGCTGAAGGGAGATAACATTAAATTAAAATTCAATCATCTTATTTAGACAAATTAACTTTTTATATTAAAACCATCAAGCTAGTACAACCACAGTACACAGCGCCTACCATCATACAAAGTGAAAAACATTAAAAGAGTAAAAAAAGCTATTGGTTCCAATACACTTTCTTGTCAATACTCAAATTCTTCGTTTTTAAATACCTCTCAGTATATGCGGTATGTATTGTTAAAAGCCCCTTTGGATAAATATTACACGATTTTGTAGCGCTTAAGGCGTTTTACTGATAAAACCTTCATTTTAAGGAGTTAGAATATGAACAGTACAGACCTGCAATTTAAAGATTTGTCGTGGATAATTCCACAAAGCTTCAAGTTGTCACACATGACTACTTTAAAGACCGCACTTTTCCATGCAGTTAGAAAAAACCCTTAACCCCCTTTCCTTACTCAAACCTCGTGCAATTTACTTCGAGTTACCATTACTAAGAAGGCAAGTTTGGGAGGCGGCAGATGCCTTTCAATATTTTACTGTACAGCTATGATCTTGGCTCGGCACATGCAGGGACTCCACAGGATCAATTGTAGCGCAGCAATTAAAACCCTTCAGAAACCTGGCTACTTCAATCGGAAATGCAAACACAAGGTGCCGGCCAATAATGAACTTGCTAACAGAGTGTCTATTGTTCAGAGTGCCCAAGGAACTCGGATGTCTGAAATATCCACAAGCCACCTTCACGGTGACACTGACAGCTTCTTTTCCCCCAAACAAACAAACTATTCCGCCTGCAGATTTCACAAGGAAAGCGAGCGCAGATTTAAATAGCCCACAGCCACAAAGCTCTCCTAAACCTTTTTATTCTCTCTCTCTCTCTCCCCGATAAGCGTGGGAACCGTACAAAGCAAACGCAGGGGATCTCGTTTTTTTTTTCTTTCTTTTGTGTAACCCGGGTGCCTTTTCCACATTTCAGGTCCGTACACCCTCAGCTGGGCAGCAGCGGTCACCCTCTCTATACCCCTATAGCGCTGGACGGGACGGCTGTCTTTTTAACATTTGCCAGCACTGACAGAACAAAAACATGCAATACCGGTCGCGTTGAAGGGGCCGGCTTAGGACATTTTCTTTAAAATAAACAAAACAACAACAACAACAGCAGCAGCTGCAACGTTACTAACCGATTAGCCAGAAACCTTCCCAGGACTGTTTTTATTTAACGCTCCTAAGTTTAGCTTTGTCCCCCACCCCTCCTCCTCTCCCTCTCCCTCTCCGGCGAGCGGGCGCGTCCCAGCCGGGCAGCGAGTCTTAGGAGAAGCCGGGGCCGCAGAACGGGGCCTAGCGTACCCGGCCGGGCAGCTGCCGCTTCCCCGGAGCGACAGCAGCCCCAGCCTCGTCCAACCGGAGAGCGGGGGTGCAAGGGAACAACACCCCCCCGGCGCCTGGCGCCGACTCTCCCCGGGGCTGCCATTAAAGGCCCGAGTCCGAGGGCTCCTCTCCCCCCCCAGGACGCCCCCCTCGTACCTGCCGTATATACCCTCGGCGATTCGGTTCCGTTTTAACGGCCGCCGGAGTTTGCTGCAGTCCGCATTGCGCCGCTTCATCCTCTTCCTTCATCCGCTTCCTAAACCCCCTCGCAGCCTTTGCCAGTTTTTCTGGCTCTCCAGCTCCCCCGATTCAAAGAAAAAAAAAATATATATATAAAATGTCTTAACGCTGCTATTATTATTTTTTTTTCCCCCCCAACTGGAAACAAAGAAATAAATAAAGGGACTCTTCCGATAGACCCTCCTCTTTTCTTTCAACGCAGCCTAGCTACGCCACGACGTCCACAGCAGCCGTGGGTGACCGGCGGCCCTGGCGGCCAATCAGCCCGAAGCCCGGGGGTTTCGCATTTTGATTGACGCGCAGCCCAGCCACTAGGGTGACGCCCTCGCCAGTCGCTTATGTAATGTCTGCCGAAGAAAGGGCGAGGAGGCGGGACCATTGTGCCGTCAACAGAACTTCGCTTGGCCAATCGGGGCCGCCATGGACAAATCAGGTATGGGGTGGCTGGCCAATGGCGTGGCCGAGGGGGAGGGCCCTGCCTCGGTCGCCGTGTGCGCTGTTTGCGCTGAGAGAGGCCGTACATTATCCTGACTGCTACGTAGCCGAATGACAGGATCGAGCAACCCTGCTGGCTGTGATGAGCACAGAGCGGCTCCAATGGCACCGAAAACGACACGCAGTCGGCAACCCGTGGCCCAATGAGATCCCGAGTTAAAGTGGGCAGAGTACCAAGCTTGCCTGAGAAGAAGACGCTCTGTGACATTGTTGGAGTGGAAGCGATTGGAGGCTCCACGTCTACTGGATGTGGCCTCAGATATTCCGCATGCTTCTGCCGTGGCGTGTCTCTCAATGTGCATAACCAGAGCACTGGTCTTGGCATTACAATACAGAGAGCTGGACGTCCTATAGATCTCTAAAACCAGGCGGCAGTTTCAAAATGCATGTTCCATTACTCCTTGATTGTAAAATCTTAATGGTATACAAACCTAGGAGTTTGTTCTTCGCCCTGTGCAATATATTATCATGCCCGGAGCCAGAAATGCCAGATGCCAGTATATACCTGGTAAATTCTACTTGAGTTGTGAATTTTGTCTGCAGGGGTTTGACTGAACCCTGTTTGATTATCTGGGGAGGAAAGGAAGAGTCAGCTGCCTTCAGCTTCCCAGTCACGAACCCTAAATAGTTCTGCTGGACCAGTAGGGGGCACTGTTCCCTCTGGATAATTGCTAACCCGACTCCTCCAGGGGGAGGACAGGGAACCCCTCTTCAGCTAAGATGTCTAAACTGAGATCCTGATTACTTGGTCATTAAGGATCCCACATTTCAGGAAAATCTTACTGAAAGGTGCCATCTCTCTGTGGTCATTAAAGATCCCAGGGCGTTTAACACCCAAGAGTAGGGGTGTAACCCTGGCGTCCTGGCCAAATTTCCCATTGGCCCTTACCCATCATGGCTTCCCAATAATCCCCATCTCTGAACTGGCTTCATCACTCTGCTCTCCTCCCCACTGAGAGCTGGTGTGTGGGGAGCCGACTGGTGCATCATCCAGATGGATTCTGCACACTGGTGGTGGTGGAGGGGATCCCCATTACCTGTAAAGCGCTTTGAGTGGAGTGTAAAGATAAGCGCTCTGTAAATGTAAGCAATTATTATTATTATTTGTAAGAGCTGCAGTGTGAACCCCAATGCTGTAATGTGTGTCCGGGCTAAATTACTGGGCTCCGGGCACAGCAATGGGCAGAATCCTTTATGTTAGGAACTCTGTGATCTTTCAGAAAGAAAAGCTTTTTATCAATGCAAGGGATTATTATTAAATCTATGAGACGCGTATAATCCTCGCTAAAATCTAGACTGCTGACATGTTTTTCTCTTTGAGGCTCGCCTTTTAACGCCCGCAGCTTCTCTCTTTGAGATTCCTGAGACTTCAGATCTGGTCTCTACCGCGTCCCCCGCGCTGTGAGCCGGGAACACAGGTGAGAGAGCCGGCCCTTTCCTGAAACCTCGTGAACGTCTTGTTAGTGCTTGAAACAGAAATCGCTTGCAACTGATTCCTGCGGTTTGTCGGCGTCGTTTCATTTCATTTTTAAGAGTTGATTCCACTTTCTGTATTACTTTCCCACTGTCAACTTCCTAAACACTCTTGCTGCGTGACATTAAAAATGTTCTCAGGACGGTTTGCACAACGAAATGAATAGTATCCCTTTAAAAAAGTTAGATTTTCCTTGTTTGTATCAGAGTGAAGCGAAAATGATCGTATTGTGGGTTGCTTAGTACTCGTATCGGAATAGTAGCTTTGCCATCCACTCTAACTCAGATGCTACCTAAAAACATTAACCTTTTATTCAATTACTCTTTACTGCAGCTCAAAAGAATTGAAGGTTTTTCCTTAAAAAAAAACAGAAAAAATAAAAGCTTACTTCTGGTGAGGCTTTGAAATGTGCGTATTGTTGTTCTGAAACGAACCATTCTGTGAAATCAAAGTTCTTTCCTCGATGCCAAGAGTAGGTGTAAAAATAGCAGATCACTTGAATTGCTTGTATCACCGTAGGTGCATCACCAAAAAAAAAAATCAGTAGTAGTAGTAGTAGTATTAGTAGTAGTAGTAGTAGTAGTAGTTTAACGTCATTATTTTTAAAAAGAAGATGAAACGGACACTCGTGAGATGTAAAGATTGCAATAATAAAGCTGGCTTTCAAACGCAAGCTGTCAGCTAAAATGAGAACAGTTTTAGCTGCGATGAATGATGAGATTCAGAATCAGGTTTAGAACTCCCTATACGGAACACACAACACCCCCTGCTGGATAGAAGAGGTACAAAACTGATAGGTTGCCAGACGAATTCCCAAACAGACCACTCGAATTCCCTAGATGAGTACTGTGCTTCTGTGAAACCCCACGAAACGTCCAGACTTAATGCTGTGTGTTTACTGTATGCATTCACTGTGTCTGTAATTCTCTCCCGTTATCAGTAACGGAGGCAACTGGAAAATAATATATTTTATTCTCTCTATCCTGGATGCTGCACATTGGTGGTGGTGAAGGTGAGTCCCCATTACCTGTAAAGCGCATTGAGTGGAGTGTCTAAAAATGCGCTATATAAGTGTAAGCAATTATAATTAATTATAAAACCAAATCTGTTGTCCAGCAGGGCACTACTTTATCCTAAAGCAGTCCATAGCCAGCCTGTGTCACCTGAGTATAAAATGCAAAGCACTGAGCACAAAGACCAGACTCAATCATCCAGTATTTTACAAAAGCTCCTGACCATTTGATTACTACAGAATAATTGTGTTTGCTTTCAGTTCGGGGTCGTGCTTTTTGCACTTACAGTGAGTGGAGCTGTCGGGGGCTAGCGCTTTGTCACAGGCAGATAAGGATTCTCCGTGTGCTGCCTGCGCAACGCCCCCACTACATCCTGCTCACGGAGAAGCAGCCCACTTTCTCTGTGTCACTCGTGGCACACTCTTAGAGACAGCAGGAGCAATGCCCAGCAAGCAGCTGTAATGGCTCCTAAATACTTTACAAGTCTTCGGCCACACTTGCCTCTTCTGGTTCTGCTCTTGGAAACAGCGTTCATACTGGTGTTTTTCTTTTTTGCTTCCTACGATGCAAAAAATCCACCAGACCTCCACCTCTACCCTGGTAAGTTGCAGTTTCGGCACTTTCCTTCTTCTCCTGTGCGAAAAGGCATTAGACAGCTGTTCGACGCACATGCAATTGCTCCCAAGATGCAGAACTGAACGTTACATCCTCGTGCTCTGAGCATCACGCGTTCACTTTCATTCTCAGAATGCTTTAAGGTGAGCTACTGACAGTGGTGAAGCCTCTTGTGAGAAGATGTCTCCCCCGGACAGCTAGTCTGTGGGCATCATTCTAAAGTATATAATGTATCTTGTGATACGCCAGAAGAATTACCACCCAATATGGAGACTACAAGCACTGTGAGGATATTTAAGCTTCTGGCAGATGCAGAAGCTATGTAAGCCTTTGCATTCTGAGACCTGGTCTTCATTCTCCTGTCTTCCTCACCACAGTGAGGAGGAGAAATCAAGCTAAACCGAGCTCTGGAGCTCACACCTGCAGCTATTCGGTCTCCAGTCCAGTCCCCAGTCGTAGATCCTTGCGGTGTTCTGACATTTGCACACTTTTAGCCGTCACCCGTGTGAGGCTGTGGAATTAACGGCGGGCTGCTGGCAGGTTTTGTTGGAGCTCTCTGCCCAGATGAGGCGCTGCAGTCAGAATCAGGACAGAGCAGAGCAACAGCAAGCAGGCGATAAGGGTGATGCCTTGCTTCTGTTAACAGGAGAGCGCAGGGGAGTTCACTGCTGTCAGAGCAGATAAGACTCGGGCTTCTGTGATAAAAGGGAATATTCTGCACAGCTGAACGCCAGAAACGAAAATGTTTTTCTGAGTTTGGTGTAAACCCAGAACAATGCCATGGGCGTTTTCGGACTCTGCTGCTCTGTGGATGTGTTAGGAAGGGATCAAATCATGCTAAAGATATAATTACATAAAGATGGGGGGAGGTCTTCCTGAGTCATTGTCTCCTGTGTTCATGTCAGTTGTTGAACACACCGCCCTCGTGCCATCTAAAGCATTTCAAATTCCTCTTGTTGCAGAAGTAATTTTCCAGAACCCTACTGTGTGTTTTTTTTTAGATGTTAATAAGAAGTAGATTTCCCAAGGAGTTTGTTTGACTCCTCTTTCAAAAGCTCTTACTTCATTCCACTACCGACAGAATTCCAAGATGTCCATGTGATGGTGTTCCTGGGTTTCGGCTTCCTGGGAACTTTCCTGGCGCGATACGGGTTCAGCAGCTCTGGATTCAACGTGCTGGTGGCCGCCATGACCGCGCAGTGGGCCGTGCTGATGAACGGGTTTTTGTTTGCGTTCGGAAACAGGACAATAGTGGTTAACCTGAGAAGGTAAATGGAACTGAACACGCCGAGGCTTTGCAACACAGCACGTCCTCCAAATCTACATAATTTCCCACTAGAAAAATATTTTGCTTCTCTTTTGTTTGTTATTATTTTTTTAACTGTGATTGTCACCTAGTTTAGCACAGTGGTGTGACAGCAGTGCCCCCTTAGAGCTCTTGGGTCTTGGGTTTCATTCTGGCCTGAGGCTCCTTCTGTGTGGAGCTTGCATGTTCTTTCCCATGTCCACATGGGCTCCCACCTCCCAAAGACTGTTGGGTAAATTAATCGGAGTCTCTCATTTGTCCATGTGTGGTCAACTGTCCATTACTGGTGTCCCATCCAGGGTGCAGAGTCCGGCCTTAAGACTTCAGAATTGTGCTTCTAGGGTGGGCTGGTAGGTTGTTATGACCCTCACTAGGAATAAGTAGGTTCATGGCACTGGAAGAAGCTTCTAACTGAAGTGTCTTACTTTTCCTGTTACATTTCGAAAACACTAGATTGAAAAAGAACAAAAATAAAATGTAGGAATGTAGGTTTCAGAATGATATTAGAGAATGGAGATGTGTCTCCTTCAAACATGCTTGGGATTTTTAAAGATGCTGCATGAGAACTAAAAAAAAAAGTTAATGCATTTGCTAGACAAGGCATCTACAACTCAGATGATCAAATAACATGACATTATGGCAGACAAGTTACTCTTGGATTCTTCATCCAAGCCCTCATCAATCAGTGTGATCGGAGTCTGTCTTTCACCACTTGGTGGCACTGCCTGTGATCTTTATCACAAACATTTTTCCCTCTGATGCTTTTGGACATGTAAGGCAGTATTTCAGGTTCGGTTTACCCCACGAAACGCTACAAACTGTGCATGTACTGTACAGTGCCATTAGTTGTCTTGTATCGCAAGCTCAAAAGTACTGTGCCTTGACTTCACTAACTGCTGTCTGCCATCAGCCTGTTGACGGCCAATCTGTGTGCGGTCTCAGCCTTTGTCTCTATGGGAGTCGTCTTGGGAAAGACCAGCCCCATCCAGCTGCTGCTCATGGCCCTCCTGGAGGTCTCTGGCTTCATCCTCAACCAGTGGATCCTCCTGAGGTTCCTGGAGGTAATCATTCAGCAACACAATTTCAAGCATTTTAGCAAACTTTGCAAATACCCATTCCTTTATTTTGTTGCCATTCACAACTTGCATCTTTGACATTCCTGTTGCTGTTGCTGTTTTAACTCTTCCTGCCATGAGAGAAGGCGCAAGTGCTTGCAGTTACGCATTGTCTATTTCTAGAATCAGAGCAGCACTGGGAGGATGGTAATTGATAGTAATAGTAGTTGATGTAGCAGATCCTGGTCCCAGAGGACCTCACACCTGTTGGATTTCCTTCCAGCTGAGCTCAGTTGTCTAATTGAAACCTTACGCAAACCAGCAAGCTGCTTGATTGGAACATTTGCAAGTCATAATTCTACTCAGGAACAAGTAATAGGTTTATTCCACGCTAAAAAGAGAAGAAAGAAAACACAAGGTTTCGGCCGTGGAGCCTTCTTGAAGTGTCAACTGTCAACTGACACCTGAAGAAGGCTCCACAGCCGAAACGTTGTTTTCTTTCTTCTCTTTTCAGTAGGAAATAAACCTATTACTTGTTCCTTTGCAGCCTACGCATGCTGACGCAGCTACCCTCCTGAACTACACAATTCTACTCAGCTGTTTGGGATTTAGTTTTAACTCATATTTAAGACTTCAAGCAGTGTTTTTCTTATGACTGGCGTCCTGTCCAGGTTGTATCCTATCCTGTGTCCACTGTCTGTTGCGTGTGGCTCTGGGTCACTGAGACTCTGTACTGGACATATGACTGGACGGTTGCCTTTTCTTTTTCTGCAGGTAGACCTCACTGAAAGCATCAGGCAGCTCCATGTCTTTGGAACATACTTTGGGGTGATGTTCTCCTGGGCTACTTATCGGCCTGGACTAGAGCCCAGACATGAAAAAGAAAAGTCTGACACCAAGATGGATTTATTCTCAATGATAGGTAGGTGCTTCAGTAACACCCCTCCTTCAAAGGGCACGACTGCCATCATTTGGGAATCATGCCCTTTAAAACCTCAATCATCTGAATCTGATACAGTAGAGTGAGTGTGTGCAGCTCTCCCTGGCCCTGCTGGGGGTTCAATTCCAGTCACGCACAGCGCCACTGACGAGACTCTCTGCGGCAGACTTTAATACCATCTAGATCCAGAGGGGAGTGACATCAATTCTGGAACTGGCTCAATGCAGTGTACCAGCCTGAGGGAGAGGTCTGCAATTACTTCAGAGTCTCGCTCTTATTGGGATTTAAGAATGCAAAACATCAAAGACAAAGCACAATGGGAAGATCTTGTACATCTGAGGCTCAATTCACAATGAACTCTTAAAACTTTTAGAGTTGCAAATGAAATCCCCGTTGGACGACTTCTCACAGTATCATTCATTTTCAGGAGGCAACTCGTGCTCAGGCATAACAGTTTGATAAAGACCAAAACTAAAAGCGTTGGTGGTAATTTAAAAATGTTGGTCCGCATCAGTACCAGAAACCACTGAAGCTCAGATAAAAAGAGGCTTATCAATCTAGAGTCATATGAAACAATAAATTATCATCAATTAACATTCATGGCCGAAAATCTAGAATAAAATATTCAAACAAAGAGTCAATACTGAAAACATTGTGCTTTAAAATGAGTTAAGTGACTATGTTATTAAAATCTGAAGAACCAGTGTTTAAAGCACACAGATTGGTGCACAGAGTAATAACAAATCTAAATGTTTGCTCTAGGGACACTGTTCCTGTGGATGTTCTGGCCCAGTTTCAACTCTGTGCTGATTGAAGACACTGCTCAGAAGATCAGTGCTGTTTACAGCACTTATTTCTCACTGGCTGCAAGCACAGTCGCTGCCTTTGGGTTGTCAGTCCTGACCAGCAAGAAAGGGAAAATAAACATGGTACTCTCCTATCCACAGTTGTACTTGCACTACCCCTAGAAACCTTCCTCTATTTCATTTCTTGTTGCCCAAGATATTCTAGGTGTTCTAGAGCTTCTGTGGTTCCCTGCTCTTACTCTGCTAGTTATCCATTAAAAATTATACCTCTCACAGAGGGATGGGAAGCTTTTCAGAGTCTGTTTTTACCAGATATGCTTAGAATACAAATCATCTTAGTCTGGCAATGTAGGCATGCATCATCTTCTTCTATACACGATATAGATATGATGCACTTATGACAGGATAATATTATTTTGCAGAAACTGCAAAACATACGAAAGTAAATTTCATCCAAGTGTATAAAAATAATTGTACAAAAGAGTGAAAGCAGATCCTGTTTTGCAGGTGCACGTCCACAATGCAACAGTGGCCGGAGGAGTGGCTGTGGGAACTGCAGTTACAGTCATCCAAGCGCCATGGGTAGCAATGACGATAGGGGTCATTGCTGGACTGACCTCCACTCTGGGGCTGCAGTACATTAAGGTAATGCAGAAGAGTGGGTGAGAGATAAAACCCCAGTACGTTTAGTTAATAAATCATATAGGGGCAGGATGATTAGTCAGTGCTGCTGCCTTACAGCTCTTGGGTAGTGGTTTTTATGCTGAACTGGAGGGCCTGCTGTGTGGATTTTACACGTTCTCCACAGCTACTGTGGCCTCCCAGAATTCAAGGGCAGGCTGTCTAGGTGAACTGGTGTCTCTGTGTTGTCCCCCATGTGAACATGTCCTTCCTTGCTCTCGTCGTCTGCCAGGTAAATCTCAGAAAGAGAAAACTCACAGGGCACTGAAGAGGGACTTCTGATGTGTAATGCAACCATGACAGCGTTCATGATTTTCAATTTTGCAAGATTTTATTTATAATGGAAAATATTTTAAAAGAGCTTTAATTTCAATTTTGGATTGCCCAATCTGATCCCTTTGAGTCTGGACCAGTATTCCACGGTTCTTATTCCTAGATTGGTGCGCATGTACGTGCAACTGTTTCTACAAGACAAAGTTTTAAAAATCTTGGCTTTTAAAGCAAAAGAAAAGGCAGAGTCCCAGTTAATTTTGTTGCACGGTTTACATCTTTAAACTCGCATATATTAAAAAACCGTGAATTTTGGCTTAAAACCTGTTCCTTTTGTTTTTCAGCCACGAATGGCCTCTCTATTCCAAGTCCACGATACCTGCGGGGTCCAATATGTCCATGGTATCCCAGGAATCCTGGGCGTCTTTGCCAATATTACCATTCAACTGGCCACCAACTGGACCAGCTTTATACTGTACGTGACACTCCACAACATACTGTAGCGTTCTCCTCATGAAAGCAGGTGAAAAGATACAGGGCTCCAGCGCCTAATCACATTTCATTCTGAGACTTGCCCTGGGTATGTTCATTTATAAGTATCTCCTGTTACCACAAGAATCGAAATGTACAATGAAAAACATACCTGTAAAAAAACTCGTTAAAAACAATTCCAACACAGACGTCGGCCAAGATGACGATCCAGGTTATTTTAGGGTTCAATCAGTTCGTGTTGCATTGAGAGACTTCTTCTCCCAGCTTTCTGTGCTCTCGCCCAGGCTGGTCTCTTTGTTTGAGCCCTTCTTTATCGTCTCTTGCAGCACTGCGAAAGAGGCCGTGTTCCAGCTCACTGCCCTCTCAGTGACTGCTGCTCTCAGCCTCATTCTGGGACTGGGAACGGGTGAGTGATGGAAGATTTGGCTTTGTCAGGTCCCTTAACATATAGATTAACACCACATGCACACTGCTTGTTAACCGTGTGTGACTATACACACACAGAGAGAGCAAGTTCTCTAGACAAGGTGACAAATCATTTGATGTCTGGTCTGGCCTATTCGGTTGTAAACGGTTAGGTCATACAGAATTGCTATGTCCTTTAACTGTATATTGTGATTCCATGTGCACAGACATACTCCGAATAAAAAAACTGCCTTGGACATTGTTAACGATCAATAATGTTTATTTTTCTACATCAGGTTATCTTTTAAAATGGAACTTTTGGAAGGCACCTCATGATAAGAAGTGCTTTGATGACCAGGCCTATTGGAAGGTAAGGAATAGTGCATTATACCACTTGCATCAGCGATGTCCTTCCTGTGCTACATACTGCGCAGGACCCAGCTGTCGAACACACTGTTCCCAAGCTACTGTACAATTCCGATTTGCCATGAAATGAGAATTACAAGCTATTGCTAAACACAGACCTGTTCTCTCTTACAGTTTCCACACCTGGCGATGAAACTCTAACACAGCTCTAAAGCGGTCTGATGGACTCTTCTAAACTGGAAATGACAATATAACCTTATACAAGGGAAATATATGTAAATTTTGTATGGAATACATGTATTTTTAGCATATTTTATAAATGCTCACTCTCTTTTCTTTGCTAAAATTGGGTTGCCAGTAGATTCTGATTGCTCTGGCTAGATGTTGCAATGAACTGAGCTTTAGCTAGTTTAGCTAGTATACAGTATGTCCCTGTAATGGAAAGACTGTTCAATCTATTGGAGCTCTGAACATTTGCCTTACTTTCAATGAATGTCTTTACAGTCACAAAAGAACTGAAGTTAAGTTACTTACAAACTTACAAAGACAAAATGTTTCTGAACTTAGCCTACTCAGACAACAAGAGAATTGTGCACTGAGGAACAATAACATTTACACTCATTTTTTTCCCCCATTAGGGACATATTCCAATGTTTATTGACAGGCCAAACTAGAGGGCGCCGTCACCACCATCACTGGTGTCTACCATAAGATGCATAGAGCTCTCTCAGACATACTCAGCTGAAATTGAGCTGACACTGCCATTGCACAATAATTATTTAATTATTAATCAGTACTCTTTTCCCTCTCCATGTACACATTTTTTTCATATTTTAATTTTTTAAATTAAATTAAGATCCTAAAATAAAAAACCTAACCCTCAATATTGCACTTTTTAATTGAAGTGCCGAACTGCAAACTTTCACAACACAAGAAGGATATTAATAAAATGTCCCTTTCACAGGTCTCACTTGTTTCTGGATTTTGTTTTTTTATAGAATCTGCTAGAACTATAGCTTATTAAAAGTGAACCCAGATGCTTCTGAACAAATACCACTATGCAAAAATTAGTTATAAACTATAGGGCTCGGCACAATCTATCAAATAAAAATGTCACAAAAAATGTTGCAAGGTTTCAAAGATACCATTTTATTTTGTTTTAAAGGTACGTTTTTACAATCTAAAACATACAGTATATAAAAGTTACATTCACTAACTGTAAAAGCTGTAAGTCTCCATTAATGTGTGCAATACGTTTAAAAACAACAACCATCAACCCTCCCAATTTTAAACAGCAGGCTAACGTATGCAACATTTCCTCGGTAGGCCAATAACTAAACATCTTAATCCAGCTTTGCCTTCACATATCAATAAGAATACAATATCCATGTATAATGTGTACCTTTTAAAAAAACTAACAAATTTAGCCTCATCTTTAGTGCTTTACTGAAGACCCTAATAGCTAAAAAAAAGCATAACTGTCAAGTTTCTGAAAGAATCTTAGCAGAGAACAGCAAAGTAGAATTTAAAATGTCAGTTTCATAAGGAAACATTTCTTTCAAGACAAAATTACAGAGCTCTACTATTTCAGCAGCAGATTCATGGGGTAACATGAACCTTTTGGAGCAAGCTAAATCTTTCCTCTCCCCCAAACTGAAAACAAACTGCAACATTAAAGCATGACAGCTCAGAGGTCTAGAAATTGTGCTTCCTTTGAAAAACCACAGTGTGCCTCTTGTAAGAAAGTTAAAAATATCATGAAAATGTGTTATCTTAAAGTTATGATGAGAAAATAATTTGGTGATATAAAAAGGACATTCTGTACTGCTCCAACAAGGAAAACAAAACATTAAAATAGGACTTAACCAGCTTTGGCATCCCAAAATTAAGAACTTTGAAAATAAAATAGTTCCATTTTACTGTTATTTGCAAATCCTACAATGTTGAACACACAAGATTTCTGAGGCATTTTAGATTTTTTTTAATCCTTGCAAGAGGAAACAAAATAATTGCAGCTATATCCATGTCAGTATCAATTCTTATTATTATCAGACCAAACTGTTCAAATGCCTTTGTAGGTAGTGTCCAGAAAAGAAGTCTGAAGTGGTTTGCAAGTTACTGAACAGACTGCCACTTTCAGACTAAAAACAAAGATCATGCCTGTACTATTAGGAGTGTTTCTGAGTACAGAAGACTATCCCTCAAAATAAACTTCCCTACATCTAGAATGAACATGCATATTGCCAGCAAACCCCAAGCATGCTATGTTCATGTTTTTGGAATAAAGGGTGAAAGATGAACATAAGTTGCAATACATTTAAAACTGAGAACAGGAGGCACTGCTTTATCCAGATAGACGTAGGGGTGTGGAACAAGATACTCAGCCATGTTGTTGAAGCCGATACCCTGGGTTCTTTCAAGAAACAGCGGCATACAATCTGCAGATCAATGAACTACTACCAAACTGGAAGAATCAGCATGCAAGAAAGGACAAACACTTAAGAGCCCAAGCACCTGAAAGACCACTGACTCTGCAAACAATGGCAGCAGAGGAGTGCCCATGAAGGGCTCAGCCAGTAAATGCACTTCTGGACTGACCTCTGCGGTTTAGGTGTCATGGGTTCGAGCCCCGATCACAGCTGGTGTGAAATTGGGATCAGTCAGGTTTCCAGCACAAACGGAGACTCCTGTGACCTGGGGGGCAGCTGCAGGGGTGGCAGCATGATGACATCACTGGGCAGCGGACTGGCAAGTCAGGAAACGAATGGCTCTTACAGGTGGGCGTGTCTTAACCAAGGCACCAGCATGTCTTATTCTCCCAAGAGAGCAAACAGGAGTTATTGCCAGTTATTGCCAGGAGTTATTGTCTTTAAACAACGCATTCCAAATTAGGTGGGATTCACATCTAAAATAAAGGGGCAGAAAAAATACACCAACATGTTGTCTATTCCAGGGAAAAGCACATTCAAAGTTCTTAATAATTTTCCTGCTTTCAGGAAAGGATAAGTAAGTTAGTAGATGATGAGTAATATTAATCAACTAAAAGGTTGAGTTTGTCTGTTTTTATGACCTGCATGAATCGATCACAGTTCAGTGTTCCAGTTTCAAGGCATTAGTGTGTCTGGAGTATAAATTGTTTTTTTATAATGGGAAATTTGCCAAAGACAAATGCTTTTCTGCTTGTGTCTGTACACGCCTTTATTAGTGTAAGCGATATAAAAAGAGCAGTGGAGGACAAAGCAGCACACCTAATGTTGTGTAAACTGACACCATGCTATAGATTCAGAAAGTGAGTATCTGGGTTACCACACCAATTATAGAGGTAACAGGTGTACAGCATTTATAAAACAGTATGAAACAATAAGCACATAAGAGAGGGGGGAAAAAAAGACGGTCAGGAGGGGAAGTACAGAACATTACTGCCATAAGTCTTCAGTGCGGCCAAATTTGAACACCAGGCCCCTAAGAAAAGAAACAAAATGGAGTATTCTTACTTAATGAACAGAAGCAGCATACTAACACACATAATACACAGACTTCTCAGATTTCAGACTATGTGTACCAGCTGTTGTGCTGTAAATTTGTGGTTTTGTGGCCCAGTAGGAGGCACTCTTTGCTGTGGACAGGGCTCTCCGAACCCATGCTCCTCTACGCCATCATGACTGGAAACACTATGCTGTACAAGATGCTGTCCTATTGGACAAAACATTGAACTGAGGTCCTGACTACCTGTCATTAAAGATCCTAAGATCCCGTTTCTAAAAGCAGGGGTGTAAACTTCAGTGTCCTGGATAAACTCCTCTGGCCTCCCTGAAGGTTCCAGTTAATTCAACTGGTCAATTTCTCAATTTTACACCTGAGGGGCTACTGGTGCAGAATGGCTGCTATACCCCAGGGGGTAAATGAAGTGGGTCCCCTCCGATATGTAACATGCAATATTCATTCAAGAAATGATTCAACCCTGAACAAGTCACGGTTAAACTGCAACTACTTATACTCCTGCAAAGGCAGTAATCACTGTTTGCACCACTTTCTATCTTCAAATGTCTACTGAACATTATGTAAGCCAATGGGATGCAAACAACCAATCTCCTGAAGCCCTTGTGTACAGAGCCCCTGGGAGCCACTCAGACACCAGCCCGTCAGAGCAGAAAGGTTCGATTTACCTCGAACCTGCGATCTGAGGCTCCTGACACAAGATTCATAGGAAAACACTCACCCAAAGAAAATAAACGCATTTTGGAAGAACACTGCAATACCGGGATAAACCACTGGCTTTTCTAGAAGACAAAATAAAACATTAAATCACACATACATGTATGTAAATGCATAAGAGCAAATGATTGTAATGTTTGATATGAAGCTCATTTTTTAGGTGACTGAATCGGATTACCGAATATAATCGTCATTCCTTTAATTGAGTGCAGTTCAACCTACAAACAAGACATTTCCATTAACATTTTCCCAAAATGATTGACATTTGCACCCACTTATACAGCTGGGCATTTAACTGGAGTCATTTGAGTGAAATTTCTCTCTCTGGGGTATACCAGCAGTGCCCTACTCAGGATTTGCACTCTTACTATTGCTGTCTGTCAGCCATGGGTTACTGAATACATTAAACTGTTCTTATTACCTTCACGCTTGATGTAGTAGGATTCAATGGAAAAAGCTACTTTATCTTAAAGAACATACACTCTAAAACCATGCTTACTGAGCTCCATTTCCCTTCTGCACATTACACAGAGCCTCCATGTGTTCAGACTGTCAGGCATGATAAGTTTTTGAATTTTGAAATTGAAGACTGCAAACCACTACAGTATCACTATGCATCACAGCTCATAAGAAAACACAAACATTTTTTCCCCGTAACCGCATTGACTTCATGCTTGGATGAAATGGGATCCAATCAAAAAAGCAACTTTTACTTAAAAAAGGAGCACTTACGTGGCACCACATACCCCCCAAAGAGAATCCACATGGAGGCGATGAGAGAGCCGAAGGCCAGCATGAAGCCAATGAAAAGCCAGACACGGGCTCCTAGGACACACAAGACACAGGCTCAACACTGGGGACGGTCTGGGCAGTGAATAATCATTCATCTCAGCCTCAGAGGCCTCTAGAGCATCAGACTCTGATCACGTGAGTGAAATTTCATTTCCCATGACAGTAAGGTCCAGCTCCGGTTTTGGAAGACCCGACTGGCCACATGCTCTCCAGGTCTCTCTAAAGCACCAGCCCCCGAAGAGCTGGAAGGAGCAGGAAAACCAGTCCAACCGAGTCACCAGTGAGCTCTAAGTGCCGACTTAAAAAGGAAAGCTGGTGACACACAGGCCCCCCAGGACCAGACCTGGAGCACAGTGCGGAGAGTGAAAGGCCAAAACTCCATTCTTTACGTTGTCTGTAATGTGGGCTGAAAGCCACAGGGGGCACTGCCGAGACCAACAAGCTGATCCTGGTCCTCATCGAATGAGCCTCAGTTCAACCCGGTTATTGAAATGAAAAATACAGACAGGAAATTTAATATTCCTATTTTGAACACTTGATTCTTGAAACAGGACAGGAAAAAGTAGACAGATGTTCAGGCCAAGGGTACAACTACAACGAGAAAAACCGGACATACCTGTCTGACCCAAGCATCCTTCACTATAGCTGTCTCCACGCACCTGGCCATTGGAGACAGCATTGATCCTGAAAGGGGAGCACATAGACCATCAGTATGTAGTGCGAAACAAAGGTCTGACAGGCAGAGAGTCATAGCTGTAGAATATGGTGTAATTACATGGCAAAGTATCCTTCCCTAGAGCTTTAACCTGCTGGAGGCTAGCCAGTATCTTCAAAATTATTATTGTTCAGCTGTTCAAAAGTCTTCTTTCAAGAAAGTAAGGATGGGGATGTCTTCTTTGACACGACTCCATTCTGTAAAGGCAGGTGAAGGTGCTCATTTCACTTTTTCATAGGTGTCACATCGGTGATATGAGGAAGTCTATGCTATCAACAGGATGTGGTCTCTCATGCGTGTAAACCTAAAATAGGATCTGAACCTGTGGAAGTTTTATAACAAATACACAATGCAGAAAATGCGGTTAGGCACAGGTCACACTCTCTATTTTACAATTTGAAAACAAATTGCTCAGTTCCTGCCTGAAGCTCTCACTCAACATTTTTTTCACCAAACACGAGACGATGTGTGCCTGGAAACATGGTGAACAGCACCATGTGGATGGAAAGAACGGTCACACAGTTATAACTTCCTCTTCAAGGCTCCGATGTCATAGCATCTCATGTGTTAAGCTACAGTTCTATTATTTCTATTGCCACATTATAAATATACTAAAGGGTACAACAGCTGTATCCCCACCTGGGATGTGAACCCACAACCTTAATTGATTCAGTGCCTTAACTGCACTGACAAGCTGCTTGAGTGGAATAGTTGCACGTTTATATTTTCCACTTAAAGCACTGGTATATTATGTTACATACCTCCAACCTGTTTTGAGTACTGAAAAACTATCAGACACTTTAAATTTAAATGAATCCTATTATTAGGTCAATGAAGAGTTCACCTGTGTGACTAGAGCACATCAGCAGCTGTGTGGGCCTGCAGGACCAGCACTGGGAACCCCTGTAACACTGTATTAACATCATACACATGTCAGGTACTTCTTACAGTGGAAAAACACACACCAGCTCCCGGGACTTACATTAGAAATGCGATGGTTGCTATTACCCCACATGTGTGGTAGGAATGGTTGAACACATCCTGGGAGGGATACTTGACTGCTGCATCAATGATGATCCACCATCCTGTGAAAAACTGCATAAAACAGGTGTTCTTTCTTTAATAGAATGCACATTAATCTACTACCAGTATCACACCTTATAACATCATTAAAAATGCACCACACAGCAACAAGCACATTCAGAGCCTACATCATAAACAAAAAAATTCAAGAGGTTAGAAAATGGATGTATGATGGATAATCTTGATCAACATTTCTTCTCTTTAAAACACAGTTTGAACATCTGTTAAAAAAGGTCTTTTTAACAGAGAAAAGTTATTTTAAATCGGACACGTACTGTAAATAATCTGGTTTGCAAACAGAAATGTTTTGACACCACTGTTAAGAAAAAGTTTAGCATGAAGAGAGCCCGGCTCTGTGTCATTTACAGTAGAGAAGAAGGAGAGGCGGGGAAGGCATGCAGTTTGTGCCTGTGACCACCCATCACCTACCAGTACTCCAGCTGCTATTGAGGCCACAGTATTCCTCTTCTCGCCCCAGTCCACACACTCACACTCGCCACACCGGATGTTATCCAGAAACCCAGACATGCTTCAGAGCTGCAGCAGGACAAGGAATTAATAAGATACATAAGACAGGTCACAGACGACAAAAGGCCCTTCGGCCTGTGTAGCTCATCCAGTCCGTTCTGTAAAAACGGCCAGAACGCTGGCGTCAACCACATGGGTGAGCAGCTCTTTCAACACACTGCCACAACCCTTTGGGTAAGGAACACACACAATAACATACGCATGCAGTACATCTCAACATTACACAGATGCCCACAGTGTTTTAGGATTTGTATGCATTTCTGAAAACACAGATTTTCATGGGCCAAGCTTGAATGGGATACACTGACTGCATAAGGGTTATTTCAGCAAACTTATGCTTTTATAGCTCAACTTGGTATCCAAGGGTAGGAATACAATCACTATATATGCTCCATTTATACATACTATATATATATAATCACTTAATATGTACATAAAACACCCACACCCCCATCACCACATCACCACTAAAAAGCAACAATTTTACAGATTTCAGAAGGGATGATACTGTTTACTGCACAACTATTTCACGTACAAACGCCTTTGGGCTAAACGTTTAGGACAGAAGTTTCACTCGGATAGGATTAAATTATTGACCTTGAATGACAATTATCCTAGATTTCCTCGACTGAACTAACATAAGATTTAGCAATGCTTATGTTACTAATAAGAATGTATTAAACCACTAACAGAGACTACACTAACAGAGACAACAGAGAATACTCCGAGGTCATCTGACTGACGGTTGATTTCGATGACAATAAGATGTGCTTTAAAATACACGTTTTGAATGCCATTTTTACCCAACGGAAAAACGTCAATAATTAAAGCAAATATTTAAAGATGAGATTTCAGCACATATTTCGACCTACAAAAACAGCTCTGACACCGAGTTGGAAATTATGCTTTGCTGTTCGTGAATACTTCGCATGCACACGACTAATATATTTTAAATGCCTGTAGGTTGAGGATGAATACATCATGAATTCGTTTTATCCGGTAAAACACAAAAAAGATTAACAAATCACACACACGGTATAATGCACCTCCCCAATTCTTGTACTTACAGTGTAAGTCACGGGACTTCCCAGCTTTATTACAATTTTATGTCTAACCCAGACAAAAACACAGTAGCCTTTTGTTAGTCAAAGGGAAAGAACGACACTAGCAACCTAGTGTCACTCACATATACATACTTCCGGACAATATAACCGTAAAGCTTTATGGGTGACGTAGTTCAACAAAGGCGCTAGCTCCGGCACACGAAACGGGAAGTTTATGTTAAGCGAACTACAACCCCCATCATATCTTAGTACACGCAGCTGGCAGTATAACGAAAAGGAAACTGCGACACTGACACTAAGAAAACACAGGAATCTGAAAAAGACATTTGTATTTTCACATAATCTGTTGATGACATTGCTCGTCCACCGCAGAAAACGATAGGGGGTGAAGTCTATATTACATATTAGGTAAACACAGTAAAAAAAAAACTTTTCTCTTTTGGTATTACTCTCATCGACCATACTTTGTCAAAGATAAAGTGCTTAAGCCTTACGAAAACCTTGGCAACACAAAACAAAACCATCACAAGGATCGGGGAACCAGACAGTGAATGAGGGGGTGTTGCCCACGTACCAGGGGTATTTGCAATATTTACCCTTTTCGTTCTCGGTTCGACTGTATTTTTCCACGAGTTGCGCATGCTCAGTGAGGATTCAAGTAATTAAAGCTGCCCTGTGCTATACAGTAGCTACAATAATGCAGGAAAATGACCAACTCTGTCTAGCGGCCCAATTGTTAAATGAAGAGGGCAGATTGTTCACATGTACAGATTTTTTGGAAAAATGTACGATTCCCATCATTCCCCGTGAATATGCTATAGTCTTTGATGCTATTCCTATGAAAGTGGTGAGGCTGTTTAGAGTTTCACCTCTCTTCTACTTCTTCCGGAGTCCTGATACTCCTCGTCTCTCTTTTGTTCTCTCAGTCTTTAGATTGACCCGTTTCCCTCTCTCCCTGGCACCTGAAGAAGGCTCCACAGCCAAAATGTTGTGTCTCTTTTCTTTTCAGCACGGAATAAACGTTTACTTGTTCCTTTGCATTCTTATTCATCAGCGCAGGTATTGCTTTATTGTACAGTTCATGCTCCTAGGTCTGGGGGTAGAGTCTGACTAGGTATCTGGATCCATATTACAGCACTTTTAACCAATACTTGAACTGAATTTATTAGTTATTTGTCTAAGCCTGGTGCAGCGGATCACTTTATAATAATATGATAACTGCATTGGCCTGGAATCCAGGGACTGGATTTGTAGGTTCTGAAGAGCTGCAACCACTGTATGAGTAAACTTCAACAGCATCACATGATTTAAATGGCTTTATGCAGAAAACTCAAATGTGCACTTCTTAACACAATGCAATATAAATCAGAACACAGTAAAAAAATTATTTTATTGTTAAAAAAAATACACATTTTGTTACAAGTTTAAGGGGAGATATCTGAAATTAAAGTCAAGTGTAGTGATTGATGAAGGGTATCCAATCCTGGTCCTGGAGGGTTTTGTTGTCATCTTGCACCAGCATCTCACAGAATAGTAGACATATAGCTGAGGTGAAATGAAAACCCGAACACACAACGAACCCCTAGACCCCTAGATTGGACACCCCTGTAATAGGCGGTACCATTAAAAAAATCTCAACGTGCTACTTTGCATTTATATCTTCATGCTAATTGCAGAACACAGCTTTTAAAAGTCATTTTACTTCAGGAATTACATTATAGATCACAGATTTCAGGCTGAACATATTCCTCTATTACATTTACAGGACATAAAAATGTCTCAACAGCAAAGCCTATATAAATGCAATTAAAGAATATTTTACCACAAGATAGATATTTTATACAGGCTATTGAAGCACGACAGTTGGTGTAGTCAGGTCTTCTTTTAACACCCATAATGTGATGTACCAATTGAATTATGACTTCATTTTTAATCTTTACCATTCTTTATTTTTCTTATCTTTATTTTTAAGCAATGTTTTTAATAAAGCGATTTCCCAGGAGATTAATTAATGAGGGGGAAAGATAAGAGAATAGAAAACAGGACTAACATGATGACAGGCCATAAACAGAATGAGGTTGGGCAACAATGTGGATGAAGTAATGTGCACCTTAGTTTCCTACAAAACCTTATCATGCTTTAAGATTCAAGCCATCCTGTTCTCAACCTCCGAGTGATGCAGGATATCACAGGACAAAGCCTGGGTATATCATGTGCTGTCCGTTTCAGCAGGTGGAATCTAAAGAAACTGGATTTGCAAAGCATATTAAAAAAAACAACTGTGCAAACATACACAGGTTTAACAATGGCATATTTGGCCACTTGGATTGAGATCAACAACAGTGGCAAGTCTAGATTTGTTGTGTGGAACATACTGTATAGAACATCAGTTGGAATGTAGGACTTCATTTTCCTTCTAAGCTCTAAGTCTTGACAGGTGTTTCCTCTCAGATGTCCAAGTAGGTTCTTTCCAAGTGCCTGAGATAATCAGTTTCTAATGGAACCTTTTATTCTGCGCTATGGAAGCAGCTAGTAATCAAATGAAAGGAAAAACTATTAAGTGCTTGATATTTTCTGCTACGAAGTGAGCATTTATAGAAATCTCCTCATATCCATTGTAAACGTAGTGTGCATTCAGATGGTCAATATCGGCCTGCGTTAAAAATGTAATAAGAATATCCGCAATATTAAATCTATCTATAAGTTGGTTACTTAAGAACGATTATAAAAAACTATTTGATGTACATATCTGTACTTACAGACTTGACATTCTGAGAAAAATTTCAAGTTTTTGATCATGTGTTAAAACTGTTTCTCACTTATAAGACGTCATCTGATTTAAATTTAAATTCCTCAAGTGAGGACTGTGCCCTGTAGGATCTAGGGTTTGACTCCTATGGTAGCCAGTGCCAACACTCTGACCCTAAGACCCAGGGAAATATTAAAAGAGCCCCAGCATTTGAAGAGCAGCTGCAAGAGACAGCAGAATGACTCCAAAGTATCCAATGTAACCATAGGCCCCTCTCATTCTCTTCTCTGGGTCTGGTAAGGAAAAGGTAGAAACGATTAGTGCAGAATTCCATTGTAACTGAAACTTCATATTTTAGAGTTGAGATCTACCATTGCTAACGTGCAGAAGTAGTGTCTTACCCCCAGTGTAGTATCCCCAGGCGTATGAAAATCTGCTGGTGACCCAGATTGCGCCAAGCACAGAGGCTACCACCTAATAAAATAAAAATACGAAGATACGCTGACATCAGAGACGAAGGGGGGAAGAGGGATTTGCAGGAGCTGACCAGTATAATCACAACAAAAAAGTACTGGATGACTTGGTGTCTTCAACTCCAGATTTGGACTGTGTGTGTAAACTTGAAGCAGATTGTCTAAGTTCAGCAGGAAGTGAAATCCATGAAAAGGTTCTCAATTGGTGTGAAAGACAATCCCTAGGGCATGTCACCCAAGTTTGTAATGAATTAGTTAATATTTTTCGAATTTATATACAGTTTATCAACATGTCTTACAGAGTAGGGAGAAAATGGCGATTCCTTGAAGTCTGACGGATCAGCCAGAAGGGCCAGCGGTCAGGTGCCAAGCACTGAGTTTAGGTGCAATCGTCTGCTTCCCCAATAACTAACGATAGCCAAATGAGAAGTGATAGGCCACTCATGCACATGGTACCACACTGCCAAATCGAGTGGCAGACACGGACTAATTCAATGTGTCTCAAACCCTTGTGTCATGACTTGGTGTTTCGGGGTATTTCAACAAGAGGTGCGTGGTACTTACAGGGTAAGCAAGTCCAGATATGAACTGGAAGATCAGCCACTGCGGGAAGACCTCCAGCGTGTTTTGGTGGGCTCTTTGAATGCAGTTGAACAGCTGCTCCTTGTCGCTGTACATAGCCGGGTACTGCAAACACCGGAAGCAGAGCACGTCACGCGACACGGCGGGGGACACAGGACACTGGACACGCGTGAGATCTGACGACAGAGGGGAATCCTAACGCTCAGCACGCGGAGCGGAGACAAACCCTCCGGTTTACACACCTGAAGAAGGCTCCACGGCCGAAACGTTGTGTTCTCTTTCTTCTTTTTTTCAGCATGGAATAAACCTATTACTTGTTCCTTTGCAGCCTTCGCATGCTGACGCAGCTCCCCACCTGAACTACCTCCGGTTTACAGTCCGTCGAAGGAACAATGTAGTAACTTTGAAGAGTTTAACTCTAGCGTCCTCTCGCCTTAGCATCGCGCTAGGATGCCGGGGGCTTCAACGAAAAGTTTACATCTTTCTACAAAGACCCATCTAAAATGCAAAGTCCGAAATCTGTGTTGTGTATTAGAAACGTCTGAGTGATTTTTGATTGTCCCCAGAAAAACAGCCTACAGCCTAGCTGTAATGCAATAAAGCACCGCATGAGTTTGGTTTTCCTGTGACATGACATGGTGACATTCCATGTTTGTAGTACAATGGGGGAAAACTGCTTCAGTGATCTTTTTATTTGCATGTCGCTCATTTCTGCATTAAAAAAAAACATTGGAAACCAGCTCGGTGCAATATTTACATTTTTCTGATAGGGTAGTTTATATTTGCAATTCAAAGCGATTCCCCGACAGATAAATATTGTGCTGGATTTTATTTATCTTTACCACCAAGCGATCGACCTCTCTTTATCTATCAGGGTTGCAATTTCACTTCAACATTGCGGGGGTTCTTCAAAGCTAAACTCCGCCGATTTGTACTCAGCTATGCTCAGGTTTCAGGTTATGGTCATCTAAAAAAAAAGCCAGAATCGTCCGGAAAGCAACCCGAAACGCGTTATTTTAACAGAAGTCCGATTCTGTCTTGGGTTACAGTAACAGTGTGGCGATGAGGGAGTTCAGTTGTTGCAGAGTCATGCTGACTATGCCACCTTATGCAAACCACTAGACAGCGAAAGCAATTACCTTGACGCCGTATTTCTTCCTCGCCTGCACGACTTGGATGCTGAGGTAAAACAGCATGATCCAGCTGTAGAAGAAGGTCAGGATCACGTAGGCAAAGCTCGCTGGGAGGACGTCTGGTATCGCCATGGTGCTTCGCAAAACAAGCCTGGCAGGACGATCGCCTTTCTGCAAGAAGAGCAGGTCGGCAGGGAGGGCGCGCGGCAGAGTTGTGTAATATGGAATGAAAGGTCGCTCGAGCACCCCCTGTCTCGCGATGAGACGCTTTCCAGACCCACCGTGTTCCTGGAAAACCGCAAATGCGCAGAACGGGGGGTGAGGGGACGGGGCGAGTTTTTACCAGTTTTTCTTGCCTTACAGTTCGCGTGTTTGTGGTTTCCCGTTTTTAAAGCGGTTGTGCACCGCCACAACAGCGCCCAGCCCACCCGATTGTGCCAGCATTGGACATATGTGTTTGTAACCGCAGTTCAAGCTTTACCTTCACTGTCTACGCCCAAGGTTTAGATGAACAAGAGGGCCTCCTTAAGGTTATGTAACGTAAAATGTTACAAACCAGCTGAAGCCACAGTTCGTTCATCCACCTCGGAAAAACGAGTTTTTACTACAACAGTGGTTCAACAGCACTGGACATATGTAATGATTTTATATAAAACCCGTTAATATTTAGTGTCCCGTAAGCGTTGATGTCATTGAACAGCAATGAAAGCGTGAATTATGTATACATTCAAGGACAAATAAACAAGCGAAGGCGGATGTTGTCAAACAATTGAACATGTGACACAGAAGACAGTTCGCATAGTTTGAACATTTTAGTTTTATTCGGGCTGGGCTGTGACACCGCTTGTAAATACAATGCAAAATGAAATCAAGGTAATTTTCCAGCGTGTCGAGGACGACCGGACCAGCTCGCCTCTGATAAATAAGACGAAGTGTTCGGGACAGAACTGTCCAATCAGATGACGCCGCCTCGTTGTTCTCGACCAATCAGCGTCAACGATCGCGGGTCGTGACGCAAGAGCTGCTTGAAGAGTCTGGTTTGGCTCAGTTGCGCGTCAGACGTTGCGGAGACACTGTTGAGTAAGGATCGTTAGTGTTATTGTGGGTTTTCCCCCCTGCTTACGATTTAAAGTGCTTGTTTTCCCCTGACTAAATAATATATTTAGGAATGGCGGTGACAAGCGACTGCACCAACCCTGGTTCTGCTCAGGCACCGGGTGCCGTGGGGAAACCGGTTTTGACTCCTCATCCAAATGGCGAAAACGTTCCGTAAGTATCTTTTTTTTTTTGGTTTTGTTTCGAAAAACCCCCATTGCGATAGTTTCATGAGCACGCTTTTGCTATAATTTGTGACATTGGGACAATAATAAGTGTGCGAATGATCAACATTGCCAGGAGTTAAGATGGCGAAGATCGCTTCCCAGCTGGATAGATACAACAGCAGCGTGGCGCAACGCTAAGATTGCAGCGGGGGTGTTAAATCTCGGTCGTGCTTAGATACAATAATGTTAATTGTTTTAAAAGGGGATAGTAGCCCTTCGAACGGACAAATTAGTCTCGGAGTTAAGAGTTCAACTTCAAGGATATGGGTAAAAATGGCTGGCAGTGGAAGAGATGTAAAGTAATACAGGGGGAGCTTGCAGGAATCGGTGTCAGGATGTCACCCAGAGGCAGGTTTTGGAGTTAAAATGAGTCGACTGCGGTATTTCTATCGAGTGTCCTTCAAGTGCTGACTGGGAAACATGGCGCCCCCATCACCTTGTTGCTGTGGCAACAGCGGGGAAGGAGGGCGGCGTGGAAAGTTCCAGAGCGCAGCGCCCTGCGCTTACCGCAGCCGGCCGCTAGGTGGCGGCAGGGGCGTGTGTCGCTTTTAATAGACGGCAGTCACTGGGGATCGAGGCGACTCAAGTTATAGAAGCCCGGTGATTATTTTAATTGTGCAAATTTAAGTGGTGCATGCGTCTTAATGTGTAATTAAGAACTGTTGCCGGGTAGGCATTGCTTAATAAACTGAATCTTTTTTTTTTTTTAGCAGCTCATCTTTTAAGAGTGATGGCAGAAATGTGGAGGAGATGTGGAATAAACCCTGGGATAGTTATGGTAAGAGTTTTGGAGTAAAAGTTGAAAAGTAGAGTTAGCCAGGTCTCAGTTTGACGGCTTATGCTGTCAATATCAACGCCGTCGCGATTGGAGGTTTTTCACCTGGAGTAGTGAAACCTGTGTAAGAGTAGCTGTGTCAGTACAAGCTGCTGTGATGTTTTGCATGTGTGGAGGATTCAGTCTGCTGTGAACCCTTTCACAGACGCAGGTCACCTGCAGAATGGAGAGAATGGTTCGGGAGCCCCGGAGAGGATCGCAGCTGCCAGCGCGATGAAGGCGGCAGGGGGAGAGCCCGCGCGCGGGAGGAAGAGCCAGGCAGAGGAGATGAGCGCCTGCCTGGACGAGCTCTGCTTGCACTCCCCCGTGGAGGAGGGCCGCCCCAGCCAGCACGAGAGGGAGCCCCGCTCCTGGTCCCGGTCCTCTTCTGCGTCTTCGGGCCGGGCCAGCTCCAGATCCAGCTCCAGCAGCTCCGGCTCCAGCAGCTCCAGCAGCTCCAGCTGCAGCAGTTTCTCCCGCAGCAGCCGGAGCAGGTCCGGCTCGAGGTCCGGCGGCCGGTCCCGGAGGCCTCGCGCCCGCGGCC